CCCCCCTCTCCCCCTCCTCCCCCCACACTTAAGCGTTATCGGATTAAAGAAAAATATGTTTACTATTCCATAAATATATTAATGCGAACTTGGTTATACGTTCGCCCCAGCTATTACCAATTTAATAAATATCGGAATTTGAATTATAGGATGAAATATATCATATTTAACGAGCAAAAATCTGCCCGGGCAACTATTTAATCAAATAAACGTTGCCGCACGTCGCTTTTACTCGGCTCCCTTTATTCGAATTAAATTTTATCTACCTCTGCCTACTAATTACAATAAATTACATGTACGTTGCTCGTTTCCTGCGACATGAAGATAAAATACTGCTTTGAGAGATACTCACGCGGCGATGGTAATATTCTTATGCATAAAGACAACGTTTTTTCAGGCGTACTTCTGCTCCTTCCCATTCATCTTCGCTTTCCCTCCAAAAGAAGGAACACGGTTATCGAAATCTTGCACGACGCTATTCGCGGCTATGTTCACGGTTGCATACTAAAATCACGTATTCGTATTATATCGCAAAAACACCTAATTATCGACGTGTTTTATGCGGTTTTAACCAGAAATGGACTACGCTTTATTCGAACGATAAATAAAATATTTATTTATTAAGTGTAACAAATATACAAACGAATAAAAGGTTGCTTGTCTCCTATTGGTTGTTCGAAATCTGTATCTAGATAGGGACTTTACTTGTCCCTGGGTTCAACCACAAATTGCGTGTAGGCCCAGCACAAGGGTCGACAACCTTCCAGGCAAAAAAATTCCACATGTAAACGAACGAAACGCGAGAAGTCGCGCGTAGCCGGAACGTAACATTTATCTTTATGTTTAAACTTGTATCTTTGATCGATAATTAGTCACAATTCATGTTCAAGTTTTTGTACGTGCCCACGAATAGCAATCAAGTATTATTACGCGATAAGTGTTAATTCTTGCGTTACACGAGAATAATTTCTCAACAGGTTAGTCGGGGGTCAAACATTTTAATAACGTTCTGGAATATGAAAACACGATGCTTGTAGTTAAATGTAGTGGATAATGGAAAATACTCTTTGATTTAGAAGAACAAACAATTGAAAATGTGATGATTACGTGCGTGAGCGTTCATATGTCTGACACAAGAACAAAGTGAAATACTAAATAAGATAACATACTAGAGTTAAGTAAGGAAATCCAAGAATTGTGACAAATGCAAATAATTCGAGGCTAACTTGCCCGAAATTAAGATTATATTCAGGATGTCTATGAGTACTTTTAAAATTATTACACCCTATTCTATCGTTTTTCTAATTTTTAGGAATATTGTTGCTCTTCCTTAATTGCAAACAATCTCGTGAAAATATGATTTAAATCATCTGCCTCTGATCAAGAGCGACGAGGATAGCCATCCACTGATCTAGGAGCAGAGACAATAAACAACAAAACCAGCACATAGCAATTTATTATAAAAATGCTCTGTAATTAAAATTTGTAATCGACGAGCATCGGATAAACCGACGTTTATCTTTTGTTTCGTATCTTCGGTTCGTGACTAACAGACGAACGATAAATTCGGTTAACGTGAGCAAATTGACTCACCTTGACGTCGAAGGCGTCGGTGGGCATTCGCTGCACGCCGTTCATTTTTCGTCGTACCGTCGCTCCCGCGAAGTAAAGTCACCTTCTTTTTCTTTTTCACAGCCTCCGGTCGCGCGCGGATTGCGACCAGCGGGAGAATCCTCGGCGAGTATTTAGGACGTCACGGCGACACGCGCGAACGCGACGACGACGGCACGTCAAAAGTTCAAAACTGCTCGAGCAGCTACGAGCCGCCACGACGCATCCTCGTTCACGTGCGCGCGACAACTGGAAGGCGTTCGCGCGCGTCTTTCGATCCCTCGAATTCGACCGCAAGCCCGCGCACGTGCTCGCACCTTGCCACTGGTGCCTCTGGAAACCAGACCGAAGATTTCATTGGTCGTCCTGCCCAGGATGAATTCACGACTGTTCGAACGACGAACACCTTGCTAATTTCTATTTCGTTCGCTTATTCATTACCAGTCGGATAGGTAATGGAAAATGGTCCGTTCGATATTTTACTTGGAAAAGAATTAATATTCGATTGCCACAGAACGCAATATATCGGTATTACGGTTGCAAAATCCAGTCGAATGTGACTCACGTCCGATAAAAAGTTATCGATATCGCTAAAATCCACCTTTATTTCGTCCCCTGTCTCGAAGGATGAGGATGGCGATTAACGACCGGAATATCGATAAATCTATGTGTACGCGACGACGAAGAAAACGCGCATCGCGTAACGTCACGCGCGATCGACTTTGAAACCAAAGCTTGTTTACAATCTTACTGCGCGTCGTTGATCTTTGGAACGGGATTCCTCCGAAAGGAGCTTAACGCCGCGGAACGAGTCGTAGGTGCCCAATGAGGCATAAGAACGATAAAATAGTACCGCGAAAGAATGTAGATATCGTCGAGGCCTGGGGGGGGGGATCTGGAATCGAACACGAACGATCTCAAGGTTCTTTTTGAGACTGATTATCTATTCCTGAGCGAGCTTGATTTCGATACACGGTGTATCCCCGATGGCATCGCGTCGATGACACGCGAGAGCCGACTAACGTTTCGCCAGGCATCGCGGAGAACCACGCTTCGCGGTCTGGCGATAAGGGATTTGAACACTCGGGCGTCGTGTTTCGCGCGTGCGCCGATTGTATTTTGCTCGTCGCTTACCCCGAAACACGTGGTATCCTTACGACATACAGTACGATAATAACAATTATTATTGTTACAACGATCCTGAACGCACAAACAACGGCGTCGAAACGTTAACGCAAACAGTTCCTGTTCGACAAGAAAGTTTCCAATCCTTCCAGAAGGTGGACTCGAATTCCTCGAGCGCCGCGCGGCCGCTAATGTCACCGATAAATCAGCTACTTTCCTCTCGTTCGCCGAATGTTTACGAACGGCGGAAAAGGTGGACGACCCGGCGGGATCGTTGTCGGTCCGATGAAATAAAGATCTACGAGGGGGAGAGAAAAAGAAAAAAAAAATATTCGCCGTGTAAATTATACGTATTCCCGGTCGTCGCGTGAAACACCGGTTCTCACGGATAGATTTTCATACACGCTCGAACGCTAGAAAGGACTTGGACCGAAAGATACCACGAGCGGGTACCGCGAAGGCAGGCTACTCGAAAACTCGACGTGTTCCATGTCCGAGGGGGAGTAAGAACAGGTTTAAGAACGTAGTTGACCGGTCGCCTTTTAAATCGGTCATCCGTCTAGCCGAGTAGAAATCACATCGGTACGAAATCAGGCGCTCTCGTACCGGGCGGATTTTACGTCGACGACTCGAAGACTCACCGAAGATCGGTGCCGCGGATCAACAGTGGAACCGGTAAGCCGAACCGCACGAATTAAAAGTAAGGTGAGCGCGTTCGCGTTCGTGTTCGCGTTCGAGCGACGGTCTCGCGACACCGTGGAAGAAGGAGGACACGTTGCACTCGCGATCGGATAAATAATACGTCGCGGATAGGCACATGGCGGGCATGTCCCCGCCGCAGGATTATACGTAGCAGCCGGCGTTCGGGCGCTCCGCGTCGCGACTGCCGCCGCGGCTAAAAAACCATACGATGACCTCATCACACCGACTCTGTTCTCCTGCCCATGTCACTGCTACTAACCATCCTAAAAACATCGTCACCTGCCATCGCCTCCTGGAGATTGTTGATTCCTGTGGTTAACCGGCATCGAGGACCACTATCCTGTCCTTTAATAGGCGATTAAAAATGCTATTATTTGGGCAATGGAATTCTATCATCCACGATACATTTAACATATTTTGCAGACATACTTGCACGTGAAATTAATATTTTAGGCATTCCAAGCTTCCTGGAGGTTGTTGATTCCAGTGGTTAACCGGCATCGAGGACCACTATCCTGTCCTTTAATAGGCGATTAAAAATGCTATTATTTGGGCAATGGAATTCTATCATCCACGATACATTTAACATATTTTGCAGACATACTTGCACGCGAAATTAATATTTTAGGCATTCCAAGCTCCCATGGATCTGTTGTCCGAGCGAAGGTGTTTTTACCGTCGGCAGGATTGGCGCCGTTCTACGGACAAAAATAAAAATATTTCAAAAAGGGAAGAAATAGAAAATTTCAAGATATCACTCTTCTTAACAATATTTTGTCAAATTAGAATATAAAGCTTCAGAAATATATATTTTTAAACGATCAAACCTTAAAAAACGATTTTTGATTTCCTCGATCCTGCGCCATGTTTGTTTCCTTTGGAGTCCAAGAGTACGAACTTGTATTTTCCTTTACCTTCGTGCACGGCTTTCTTCGAAGTATTGTAACCTGTAATTATTCATGAAATATAAACGATAAAAATTTTCAAGAATACATACTTTCACAATATCTAGTTTAGAAGAATTTTGAACGTGCCTAATCGGGTTCTTAATTGCAGGTGGGCTCCGGATCATCGATCCCTACAAAAACACGATAGAGCTCTTAGAATAACCTTGTTCGCTACTGAACCAAATAAAATAACTAAAAAAGAGGATTTTAGTTTTATAAGAAACATCACTCACCGGTAATGCTTCGATTTTTTAGAACTTTTTTTACTTTCCAATGGGTTTCATACCCCGTCTCTCACCTCGCTTGCATCACACCAATATATGAACCGAAGTTTGTTGTTCTTTCGAATCTGTAGTCTAAGTATTAGATTTCATTTCCCTCCAAATTATATTTACACAAGTTACAGTTGTAATGTATGCAAACAATTCTACTAAATGTAAACTAGTACCAACATACGAGAATCTAACTATACATTTGCATTAATACATTATTCTTGCAACCCTTAAATTATGAGATCAAATTCGCACCTTTGTTTAAACATTTCGTTGAATAAATGAATACCAAATTCACCACATGGTTTTTCGATATTACAGATTAGTAAAAATGGAAGAGTATCAACAGTATGGTCGTACGTGTGCGATGTGTCGAGTATGTAACATGATGCTCGCATCATATATCTGAAAAATTGCAAATTCTATTAGAAAGAAATACCCGATAAGATATTTTATTATAATGTTGTATTTATTTGCTGATATGTATGTATCTTAATAAAATTCATTTTGTTACTAAAACCTTTCTGATTATCGTGTGAGGTTATGTGCGATGTAGTGCTTTAAATTATAATAATAAATCGATCCTAAGAAACACGACATTGGGAATACATATAGTTCTATATAAAAATTACTGATTGATTGAAAAAAAGAGCAAGACTTTTATAACGTTTGTTGATTATCGATATTTAAGAAATAACAATCGTCAACAATGGCTTCTGATAAGTCTGTTAATTCAAATCATACGCTGTCAACAAACGTTAAGATAAAAGTAGAGCCAGGGACATCGATGCCCGTCTCCATAAAGAACATTAAAACTGAACCTGGCTTGTCTACCACAACAACAACCAGGTTAACTTCTTTCCGCTTGCCAAGGGACTTAACATTGGGAGGCAATATTAAGACTGAGAAACCCAAAAAAGTATACACGCCAAATTTAAATGCTCAAAGGACAAAGAAGAAAGAGTAAGTTACTTTTGTCAGAGGCAAGTCTTGTAACTCCTGTAATTCATACAGATTGTATAAACATTAATCATTTTTTAAGCGACGGGGTACAAAATGATTCAACAAAGTCGGTTAAGGGTCAGGAACATAACAGAGGACGTGGCAGGGGTGACAGGGGTAAAAGGACTGATAGAGGACGTGGAAGAGGAAGCAACCTAATACAAGTATAAATAAAAATTAATTTCATTTGTGTTAAGGGGTATACTTTACTTGACCCAGAGTACAAAACATTTATACCTCTTAACACTAGTTAAAATATATTGAAAACACTAGTTAAAATATATTGAAAACACTCGTTTAAACAATATGACATTATTCTGTAATATTCTACGCATATTTTGTTCATTTCAGTCTAGTGGTATCTGGTCTAGTGGCGCATCAAACACGCAAATAATAAAACGCGGCAGCGGCGGAGGCGGTACTAGAGATAGTGAGAGAAGCACTCAGTCAGCCCTAGAAAGGCCAAAACTCGAGTTAAATCGCAATATTAATAAAGCAGAAGAAGAGGAAAAATTAAAGCAATTGCTAAGAGATGATTTTATAGACGATGGGGAACCTTTAGATTATGAGAATGGACCTATTATGTTACCAATGTTCAAAGAGGGTATATATCTCTATTAATAACTTTTAGTGGTATCAACGAACTTTAGAACGATTTTATCGATTATTCCAGCGAAAGTGCACAAAGAAGAAGTTAAAGAGAAAATCGAAGAAGAACAGGACAGAAAACCGACTATTTTGGAGAATGGAGAGGGTAAGTATACATTCCTTTTTCTGTGTAGCAGAATGTGCAAATAAAATGATCACTTTCAGTATTATCACCGAAATATGAATTTAAAGTTAAGGTAGCGAAATCTGGTGTAGAATTGAAAGAAGAGTTTGATAGCATTCCCCAAATGATCGAAAATAAGACAAATTCTTACATCTTGATACAGGTAAGGATTTATTAACAGAGGGATGTATATTTATCTTTATTATCGATATGCCAATATAACAAATAAACTGCAGTTTCCAGATTGTTTACCAGGCTTTGTAAGCAATGAGGAAGATACTAGACCAACTCGTTCGAACGTCTCAAATCACGACAAAGAAAATGGACACAATTCGGAAACGAACATGTGCACATTAAATAGCTTGAAGCCTGGTATTCTAGGCAAATTACAAATTTTAAAGTCTGGCAAAACACGCTTATTATTGGGCGAAAACAACTTGATCGTGGATGTTGGATCGCACCTTAGTTTCCGACAAGTACGTATTTGAAACATGCAAAAATATTGAACAATGTAATTGAAATAATTTTTGTTAGGATCTCCTCGCCGCAAAAGTGGATACCGAACAATTAAACGGCGATTTAATTAATCTTGGGCCTGTCAGCAATACACTTATTTGTTCACCCGATTGGGAATCCATGTTGGCCAAATTGTAAATATATTTATATTAAATATAATTTTATCGTTACGTGTTCCTTATTGTAAAAAAAAATGAATTAAATGGGTAGATTTATACATCACTACAAGTACGAATTACTTTTTCTGAAAATCATGTATTTTCAATACTACAGTATACGTGAAGTAAGCTCTATCACGTTCAATTTTAGTAGTAATTCTGAACTATAAGTAAAATGTGTAGTGATCGGAGGTTAAATTTCACTACGTAACTTACGCGTACAAATGCCGTAACAAGAGGGTGTGATAATAGTCTCGTACAAAGCACAATATTTCTTTTCAAGACAGAATTTATTTTTATTTTCTTTCTGATCTTAATTATAGATACTTTGATGAAAAATTATTTTTACACAAATAAGATTTACAAATTAAATTCATCGTATTATACAACGAATGTTAATTCATGAAATGAACTTACTAACTAAGGGGAATATAATTTCTTTACTCAACTGTATTAACGTCTTGAAAAATGTAGAAATCGTACATTAAAGTGGCAGAAGAAATTACTGTCTTTGTTGTGTTCAGATAAACTACTTCCATTTCGCTAAGAAAACAACTACTGTGTTCATAATCGTAACTTCGTAATTGTATGCTTAAAGAGATTATGTTTAAGCTTCTCGTAAAAATTAAGACTTCTTTTATTGAAAATTTTAAAAAAAATTAAAAAAAAAGATGAAATTTTTGATCGTGTAAGTTTTGCACAAGCAGGTATCGCGATACGATTAAATCCTATCATGTTCAATTATAAACAAAAATGAATCCTTGATACAGTTCGAACAATACAGAGGTATACACACGTTACACACCCTCCATGATAATTCACACAAATTCTCAATCACTTCTTTCTATACTATGTCCTTTTTTCATTGATTTTAATGCCTTTTCCCGCAATTTTTTCTCCAGTTCCTCAGTATTACCTTCACTTACGTCTGATTCGTCAGAGTCCGCAACCTTCTTCTTTTTGTGCTTTCTATGTTTCTTATGCTTCTTATGTTTCTTGTGTTTTTTATCCTTCTTCTTCTTCTTCTCCTCTACTTCGCTTTCCTGAAACACATCAATTACAACAAACGAATGAATTTTACTCTCCAAATATCAAGTATTCAAGCGCAAGAAACAATTACCTCCGATTCACTGGTGCTAGTTTTGGTCTTCTTTTTACGTTTCTTTTTCACTTTCTCCTCGTCTGAACTGTCATCTACTTTCCTCTTTTTCTTTGCATCTTTCTCCCCCGCGTCATCGTCGTCCGTACTAGAATCTCGTTTAGATTTTTTTAGCCGTGTTTTCCCTTCATCCTCGCTCGTGGAGTCTTTCCTCGACTTCCTTGTCCTTGACTTCTCGTCCTCCGAAGAGCTATCTCTTCGTTTCCGTGTCTTTTTCGGCTCATCGTCCGAGCTAGAATCCTTCTTAGACTTTCGTGATCTGGATCTATCTTCGCTTTTGCTCCTTTTTGTTTTTTGATCTTCATCGCCCGAGGAAGAATCCTTCCTAGATCTCTTCGATTTCTTGGTTTCTTCTTCCAATTCTTTCTTCGATCGTTTGCGAGTTTCGTTTTCATTAGTGTCCCGCTTTCTGTTATCTTTTCTGTCCTTGGTACGGTCGTCTAACGAACCTGTAAAAGAGAATAATATTCTACGCGTTGCAATTAATTCAAATAAACTTGAACAACTGAATTTTACCTCCTCGACTCGACTCTCTAGTCTTTTTGCTTTTCTCCACGTGTTTTCTTTCCTCTTCGGAGTCCGAGCTAGATGCACCTTTGTCCGATTTCTCGTCGTCCGTAGAAGCTTTCCGGGATTTTCTCGACTTCTCTAATTTTCGTGGCTTTTTCTTGCCTACAGAAAATAACAAACTTTAACCTCGATTCTTGCTCGTGTGACAAATAATAAAACGATTCATTTGATTTATGCTCACCTTCACTTTCACTGTCGTTCGAATCCGTAGAACCATCACGTTTTTCTCTCTTCGACTTTTTGATCACCTCTACCGATTTTTTTAACAAGACCGGCTCCGACGTCTTTTGACCAGACTTCTTGTCTTCCGTCACTGTCTTAATGGACTTTATCGACTTGTCGTCCTTCTTTAATGGGAAGGCATCTCCGGACGAGAAACTCGACTCTTCCTTCGGTGATTCTTCCTTATTATCTTCTCTGTACGTACAAAGTAATCAGTGAGACCAGATTTTCAAACATAGAAATTGGCTGAAAGATTCGCGAACTTACTTTAAAGGTTGTTTAACTTTAACTGCGGCTATAATATCTTCAGTCTTTTTAAACGGCGAGGGTGTTCGGGACAAGCTCTTTGAAAACTAAACAAACGAATGGAGAGGAACAGTTCAGACAACAGGTAAAAATATTCAGTGTACGGAGACAAGAAATATTGGACTTACTCTGTGCCTGGTTACAGGTAGCACCGAAGGTTGAAGTTTCTTAGGGGAAACGCTAGGTTCTGGTTTCTTGATGGATGTAGTTTCAGTTTTTTTAGCATCCTTCTCGGGACGTTTGATCGGCTCCTCTTTAACAGTCTTCTCTTTTTCCTTACGTTTGTCGTCCACGTGTTCTCGTTCCCTTTCGCGGTCACGTTTCTCTTGAGACGATTTCCGCTCAAGCGATTTTCTACGCACAGACAATAAACAATGCATTCTTAGAAAATGAAAATATTCCTCACGTATAGCTAAGCGGGAAACACAACATAGCTGCGTTACGCTCCGACAACCGTAAGGTCTGTAACAAAACATGAAAATACGAAATAACTTCTTTACTCACCTGATCGCTTCATCCTCATTGCTAGAGGAACTACTTTCGCTACTTTCCGAGCTACTTGACTTAGACCTTCCATTTCGCAACTCTTTTCGCGATCCTGTCTCGGCCGACTTTTTAATTTTCTCGTCCACCTTCTTGTCCTTGGTCTTGTCCTTGGAATCCTTCGAGCGATCGGGCGATCGTTTTTCATCTCTTGAACGATCCGCCGACGATCTGTGATCTTTCGATCTTGATCTACGATCCTTGGATCTAGATCTTCGATCTCTGTCCCTTCTGTCTCTGTCTCTGGAACGGTCTCGCCTACTCGATCTGTCGCGAGAGGAAGATCTATCGTACCTGAGGGATCGATCCCGTCCGTCTGGCGAACGACGTCTGCTGTCGCGACGATCGGGGGATCGACGCCTGTCACGCCTCTCCGACGATCTTCGTCTGCGATCTAGAGATCTGCGTCTGCGTCTATCACCAGGACTGGGCGATCTGCGACGATACCGTGCAGGGCTTCTACGAGGAGGACTCCTATAGTAAATAAAAATTCTCCGATATTAGAGACGATACTCGTAAATTCACAAGCGTGAGCTAAATTGTGGGCTAAAGGCAGTTAAAAAAAACACTTATTTAATGCAATGTCTTCTACCTTCGCCTGCTGGGTGCTCTGCGCACTGATGGCGGTCGCATACTGCGACTACCGCTGTATCTGTCTATTCTCTCACGTTCTCTTTCCCGTTCTCGTTCTCGTCTTCTTTCTCGTTCTCTATCTATGGATCTCCTAAACAAAATTCACCCGAAGGTTAACACATTAGAACAAACGTCTCGCTGGTTACCAAGGACTGTGCAAAATGTCTTTCAGAAAATCATTCGAACGTGCCAATCACTGCTTGTAATGTACTGCGCGCGTACCTTCTGTTCCTATCTCGAGATCGATCGCGCGACCTATCTCGTGATCTATCCCGTGACCTATCTCGCGATCTGTCTCTGTCCTTGGATCGACCTCTGTCTTTCCGCGGCGTAGGGCTTCTTCGTTTAGGCACAGATTTCCTCTCCCGGCTCGAGTCACTCTCGCTACCGCTGTCGTCTTTATTTGTCTTTCTGTACGACCTTTTCGCCTGCACTCCATCCTTCTTCTTCCTGATCTCAAAATCGTTCTTATCTTTCGCCCCTTTCTCTTCCTCGGACTCGGAGCTACTGCTCGTGCTCGCGTCCCGTTTCCTGTTGGAATCGAGATTATCCTTTCTCTTATCGGGCGACTTCGAACGAGATTTCGACGACCTGGAATCGCTCGAATCGGACCTCGACTTTCTGGACTTACTTCTGTCGTTGCTCTTCGATCTCGACTTCTTCGATCGCGAACGAGATCTCGAACGCGACTTCGGCGACTTCGACTTCGTGCGTCTCGATTTCGAGCGATCCTGGGACCTGGACTTCGATCTTCGGGATTTCGATCTGGATCTCGATCGTCTCGATCTTGACTTGGAGCGAGATCGTCTCGATTTAGACGCGGGCGATCGAGACCGTCGTGTTTTCGAATCTCGACTCGGCGATTTGGATCTCGATTTCTTAGAATGGCTTATAGGGGATTTTGATCTAGATCTAGATTTCTTAGCTTTGTCCAGAGATTCTGGGGATGGAGTACGATTGTTTTTCTTTTTCCCGTCGGCTATGCTCATTAATTTAGCTTGTAGCCGAGATATCGCGACAGCAGCTTCCCTGTTCAAGTACATCAATAAATTATCTTTGAACGATCGATATTACGTAACAAATTTTTAACACTCACGGTTTAGTTTTAATGGGCATCAGTGGTATAGCATTCTCAGGTTGAGGCGAATCCTCACGTTCGACTTTAACTTCCGGCATATCCTTTCCGTTATCCTTAAGAGAATTTTTGCTAGGCGATCTCGAAGATGACCGTCGCTTGCGACTCGATCTATCGCGGTCTCTGTGTCGATCTCTCGATCGACTTCTCTTACTTCTGAAAAAGTTAATTATTAATTAACTTGATTAAGCTAAGACTCGAACGAAAGTAAGGTTAATTATTTGTTTTTAAAAAATACCTGTCCCTATCGCGATCTCTGCTTCTGTCTCTTCTGCGCTCCTTCGACGAACCGCGTTCTTTGTCTTCCTTTTTTATCTTATTCTCTGCTTCATCCTTCTCTTTCTCCCTCTCCTTCTCCTTCTCCTTTTCCGCCAAAGAAGCTTGGAGTTTCTCTTGCTCCTCCTGATTTTAACGTATCGTGATTTAAAATACCGTTAACGAATCACTTATTTCTAAATAAATATTAAACATGGAACTAAACTAAACCTCATTGCATCGAGACGCATTCGCTAAAACGTTTCGTCGAATGTCAGAATCTATCGACTCAATTGTTTCTATCGATTCAACGCATTCGATATAACAAAATACGAATACGAAAATTAGTAATTACCAAACGTTTTTTAATCTGATCTTTCTTTTGTTGTAAGAAAGCCTCTGGGATACCCGTTACGCTCTCTTGAGCGGAGGCCAAAAGGTCCCATAATTCGCCCATGAATGATCGGGCATTTCTGCCGTTCAGAAAACCCGTGAGGTTGAGCTGCATTTTCCGGGGGTCCGGGAACTGTAAAATATACAGTATACAAATTCATTTTTCCATGCATTTGGTTGCAAGTAATAACAATTGAACGGCGAACGTTCAATTTTCACACAACAGTTGAAATTACAACAGTGTCCGTTTCCCTATGTTGTTACTAACTGCTTTTCCCCCTCGAAAAAGCAGATTAACTTTTATATTTCTAATGTATCTTACCACCAACTGTGAATCGCTCGTTTCACGTCTGCTCTAATAGCGACACGCTAAAGAAAAAAATATTATACTCATCGATAAACGCACAAGTAGCACATTGATACATTGATACCTTCTCAAGTTCAAAATACTGCTAAGGTAGATGCTGAAATGGGATTCATAAATATTTGTCGTGTTAACTGAAAACGTAAGGATTAATTTGGAATATAAGGAACGCCGTTCCACCAACCTGTGACGTTGACAAAGTGTCAAACCGAGTAGAGATACCTCCGGGACGTGGTCCACGAGTCAATCGCGTCTGTGATTGACCCCGTATCCGAAGAATCATGAGTCAGCGAACAGACCTGCACGATGGTAAGATGCTTGGATCTTCGGGGTTGGTACGGTAAGCACGACGAACGGAGCCAGCCAACATGTATCCCGGACGTCAGCTGCGTCGATGTCCTTGCACGATGAGCATAGGCACCGAGGCGGACGGGTGGCGATGGTTTCTCCTTGCTCGAACACGAAACTGCCGGACGCCAGCTGATGGTCGATGTTCGAAAGCTGTGACAGAGCTTTCGCCGTTGCAATCTTGGCGCGTAACCACCTCGAACGAGGCAGTTGTGTGCAGGAGAAGATGACGGAGGGTGCAGCTAGCAGACGACACGACTACAGCTACGAAGACATCTGCAGAACGGTAGAAGACGCCCGGGCAGAGCTCCGTATAAAGTTGAGAAGCGCAGAGAACAGCACGATGCGGCGTGATTATTGCGTGTACGCAGATACTCCGGTGACGATGAGCCGACGGTGGACGAACTGCTGAGGCTGAAGTTTCAGCAGTGGTTCTAAGATGACGTGGACATACCAGCTGGCGTCAGCTAGCGTTGACGGCTGATAGAAAGGCAGCCAATCGGATGCAGAGAGGAGCACATCCGAATGCCATTTGGACAATAGGGTTGAGCCCCACCAACGGTCTCTACTTATACTAACGGGGAATTCAAACATATGTGATAAAAATTGTTTGCAGATGTTACAGAGTTGCAGGATCAGCTACATCAGTTTTTCTTTTGTTGAAAAAGGATATCGCTTGAAAGGGATACTTGAGGTAAAATAGAAACGGGTCACACAGGATTAGTAGTGGGTTCCGGATCAAATCAAATCCCATCGAATCACTTTGAACATTATTCCATACCAGAAGGTCTTGAAAACGTTGATCTCGAAGTCTTTAAACTTTTAACGAGTCTTGAACCTTTTGCATAGATAAATACAAACTGTTGAAAATTCTTTAAAAGTTTCATGATTCGGCAAGACTTTAAGACTTCTGATAGACTCTGGAATGGAGTAATGCTTGTTACAATTCAAAACTTCACAGACTCGAAAGCTTTGAATCTCTTTAAAAATATGGATCTGAACGCCCGTCACTACACAGGATGTAAAGGAACAATGATACTTTCATCAAAATTCAAAAAGAAAAAAAAAACAATGAGGCACATATAACTAACATGGTTTCTGCCTCCTTGCTTTTCATCTCCAAAGTCAGCACAGTGTGCAGATTTTGGATGATAGCATTTTGTAACTGGTACAAAACATCGTGCTGAAATAATGTGTATTTATCGATTTCCTATGATGAGGGGAAAAAGCCAAGTGAACGCATTTTATATTTTATTTTTCATTCTATAGTCTCTTAGATCTAATTCCAATCGAATCTACAATGAAAGAAGTTTCTTACCTTTTCTTCCAGTTGATTATACACAAATTCTACCAGCACGTCGTCCTCCATGCCTAAAATTTGCGTTATCTTTGTAGTGATCCAAGGCTTGATGACATCGAGTTTAACTTTGCTCATATCCACCTAAAGCCGAAAAAATTTACGATAAAATTCGAAAATAGACAGAACAATGGAACGCTTCTTTCGAGCCTCGAAATAGTTGTTTTTTTGAGATTGTATACAACGTAGATCTACCTTCTGTGTGAGCGAATCGCCAAACTTCATTTGTTTAAGAAGCTTTTTCTCCTTATCGCTGAACCTCGTGTCCTGCGACGCGGTTGTTCCCTGTAATTGGTAAATAATAAATTTGCAAACTGGAAAAGTTCGAAGTTCTTCGATGCAGCTACAACTATCCAAAATTACGTCTCATTTTGATTAAAAAGTCGATTAATTTACCGTATACATCATATTGGCAACGTGTAGATTCCAAAAGCTTCGCGATGTTCGATGTTTCTAGCTGGCGATGTACCAAATCCCACGTCTTCAACACTAGATGAGGAAAAATGATTTCAAAAAATACGTCGTTAAACAGCGGGTCCACTTTTATCCACGGAACTACGTTACGATTTTGCTGTACAAATATCGAACGTTAACACGGATCGTACACAGACGCGAACGTAGGATAGATCAATCCACCAACATGGCGGCCGTGTCGCTAAATCGGTAGATTGAAGTTGTTCGACGATGAACACAGTACAGCCGCGTTTACTAAGTGCTACCAACGTTCGAGCAAGTTGCAATCAGTGTTACCAGACTCCTCACTCCGATTTCGCACACTATGCCGGATCACGTACTGTAGTTTTCAGAGAGTCGACAAAGACAAACTGATACTTGCCCTCTTTCTCGAATCCACGAAGATGCCCGAAGTATCCCGAATGCACTTCGGGCTGTCTCGAGATAGTCGAGAGAGAAGACAAAGTGTTATAAAAAAATTTTATATAACACTTTTTTATCCGAGGCTCCATTTTAGAGATTTTATTGTCATCTATTCTTCTATCATAGTTATCTCCGCCTGAAATGGTGTTTTAAATAGGCGGAATGCATTTCCAGTATCATTCTACCAATTGGAAGGCTTCAATATTGTTTCGCCAATCAGAAGGCCATGCCTTGCAACGGTCAATTCCCTCCTTTTTGAAACTTCTTCATCGCGGGTAATATCGAACTAATCGACTGAGTATAATTATATATTTTCTTTGGAAATAAAAATATATGTAAAATATAACATTTTTGTAATATATAAAAATGTATAACAATAAATTGTAAATATTCGTGTTGTTTTATTAGCTTTACATCAATTGTAAAGTTATTCGATCCCTGCTTATCCTAACTTGTAAGATCTTTGCTAGAATAGCATGCAAGTGAATTCGAAATACATACTACGATAAACTTTGTATTGCGAAATGATAAATAGGACTCTCGAAAGAAATACTTTGGTATGTAGTTCGAAAACAACAATTTTATTAAAGTTCTTATAAGAAAAGACAATACAAGCGAGTTATATTCTTCTTTAAAATTTCGAGAACTTACGCTAAGTTGCATTTACATTTATTTTAATATAGTATTTGTAAACATCGTATGCAGTCATAATATTGTACATAATTAGATGCACGTTTCATTACATGACAAAGACACGTTGAGTTGTGCAAACGGTTTCGCGTTTAAAAGAATATGAAATCTAACATATTTTTATTCGTGCATTGCACAAAAATGACCTATAAGTTCTTTTGAGCGGTACACATTTCTCGCGTAGATATTGAAAAAAACATTGTGATTTCCTTATGGAAAAATAGTTTTGAAGTTTTCAGTTACATTCTTATTATTTTTTATAAAGGTGTTTACAGTATGTAGATTCGAATCGGAATACACCAAAAATTTCTAAACACCTTTCATACAGCACACAAATATTACAAACATCAGTATCATAGAATTTATAATTGCCATATATCGATTTTCTCTGTAATATTATTAGTTTTTCCACCTGAAATTGTAGATTACATATGTGCTAAATACTGCCTGCTTTATCATACAATATGATTATAATAAGAGTACAACACAAAATAATGCTCTTAATATTTTTTGAACATAACACGAAAATGCTACACTCAAATATATACAAAATATGTACTAAACATAAATACAATAAGAATAATTAGTTCCAATATAGTGTGCACAAGTAATACTGGTTATCTATGTATAACTTAGTAAAGGCAATGAAATAGAAGATGTTAAAGTACAACCAAAAGGGCTCATGTCATAACTTATTATCACTAATAATATTTTACATTATTTCCATAGCTAACATTGTGAAACTGACATTCAGGTGCAAAGTGTGCTGTATAAAGTGTGACATTTATTTTAATTATTGGCTTACAACTCATCCTCAACGCAAAAACAAATGTTTTATGCAATAACTATAGATATAATAAATAGTCCTCACTGTAATTGATATAATTATTTGTTTAGTTAGATTGCTTCTTGGTTTTCAATGAAACTTGAGTTTTAAACTTTTATTGTACCATATGTTATATTAAAAATCTAACGTATCTAAATGTTTCAAAAATATTGGCCCTTGTAATGAAGTAAATATGCTATTATGCAATCATTATGTTACACTGTTTCTTTCCTTTGCATTCTTACCTATAGTTCAGTTTTAAATCGTTATATTACTCACAGTTAAGTATTAGTAACATCTTATTGTATATTTGTAACTTTTGATTAGCAATAAAGTCAAGTTTCATTTCCATATTTTTTCCCTTTTAATAACATTATGTTCAATTGAATAGTTTCAAACGATACGTAACAGTTTTTAAAATGTGAAACATAAATTTTATTGGTAAATTTAAATGTTTCTTATAGTACAATTAGTAATACATTTAGAATCTTGTTTCCATTGGTTCAAAAGTTTGCAACCCAGACTAGATGCATTCTATCGTGATATTATGGATTCACTTAAATATTTAATAAACATAAGGGTGTGAAACTAAGGATCAACAGAATTTTATTACTCTGTTAACAAATAAAAATATAACCGTGATATAAATAAGAGACAAAAAAAATCATTGAATTTGCAAATATAAATTATTTCGATTCAACACTTCTTTCTACTTTACGATGTTGAACTTTTTGTCTGCAAACACTTGCACGTTTTGTTGGTACTTTTTCATGTAGTTTACGTATTAAATGCACTGAAATGCAAAGAAATGTAAAAAAATATTCGTATATGTCAATAATATAGTGTTCTCGTATGCAGATATATAAATTCAAAAATTGATGTGTTTAATATGCTCGTATATTACAGGAAATTAATGCTCTTAATATGCGAATAATATAATCACTTACAGTTTAATGCAACTAACATTGGCCTTACTGAAATTATTGTTTTGTACAATTATATTTCATTTCATCGTAAAATTCTATGTTGTCATTGAAATAGACATATAATTAAAAATGTTTTCTGTTAATAGTAATCACAGAAAAAATTAATCTTCTATGTTTATTACACGACAACGGGATGTTCATTTATTATATGCTTTAACTAATTTATTCATCTGAATCGATCAGTCTAGAAATTGCTTTGAATTTGGGCTATGCTTTTTACTTCGTAATAACCAATTAGGCAGCATAAAAAACATATCTTTAACAATTATATTATTTCTAAGGTTTTCCCTTCAAGCGATGACACCTGAACATCTTAAAAATTAATTATAGGCGCTGATTTAACCGTGAACGTTACATATGAAATTTGCATATGCATATATACAAGTAACACTGAGGTTTGTCCGTAGGAACAAGGCACGGCTGTTTTTCTTTACCAAACAGCGTTATTATTGGTTGAGATTTAGCAATTAAGTATAAATCTTTCTTACTTTGACAGATTCTTTTAAGATATGATTTTCATTTCTGCCAAATTTTTAAACAATTTGTATTTAAGTTTCACATCTATCTCCTCATAGAATTACGAACTTACATAAATTTTCTAATATGTGATTTAAAAAATTATGTTTGTATGATTGACTTCGCATTGAAAAATATTTTCTTTTCTATCATGTATCACAAATAAATGGATATTCCTTCGAAATGGTATTTACTATTACCGCTCCTACGGCAGCAGTAACAATTTACTATTACATCTTGCAATTCCACTTCATAGAATATTTGCAATCCTACTTAAGATACCGTATTACAAAACACACATGTAGGATGTTATGAAAATCCCCTGAAATGTTGCCAAGTCCTCCAGACAGATAGTCAAGTGTAGACACATTTTCACACTATGTAGTAAATGGAGAAATAAAAATGATACCGTTTATATTAATATAGCGCGATCGAAACTATCACATAGGTGGTAGCAATACATATATCTCAGTGAATAAACAAATATTAATTAAATCGTCTGACTTGCATAGATATAAACATTAAAATGTACTCTTTACAATGAATTTCATATAAAAAAGCTTAAATCGTCTCTCTAGATACTTTCCATACAGCTCAAACATCCATATTTTATAGCTGTTCGTTGAAATGAATCTGTACTATTCTTTATCCAAATAAAATAAAATTTTCATTATATTATTGACAATTTTATGTTACTAATGTCTTTCATCAGATAGGTTTTTAAAATTGTGTTATAAACGTCATGTCATGACTATAATGTTATGAAGTATCTTACGCACCTCATTTATATAAATTAAAATAAACATTTCAAAGAATGGCCAATTATAACAGAAATTTGCAAAACTGTAAAAATAATTTTCCGTAATGAACTTCGTTAATGAAACCAAAATTTTGTTATTAAAACTTCCTAATTACGATCGTTTAATTAATGGAACAGACATCGTGATCAAATAATTCTGTATAGTAATTTCAATTAACTACCTATGACGTATCTAGATTATAAACATTCACTTGGAATTGACAATTCATACACTCGTTAGTTTTATTAGTCAACATCAAGAGTAATATTTAAGGCAGGAATATTTTTACTTTACTACATCGTAATTTCACTCATGTTTGAACGTAATTTCTTGTATAGCATAAAACGCTTTACCAGAAGCAAGAGAGCATATACGCAAACATATTATAATGTATATAACTAGATGTTATAAAAAATAAATGAAGGACTAGGAATCTCAATGGATCCTGATGGACCTTGGAACCTTCATTGGCTGATGCTTGTGTGCCAATAAATGTTCCGTATTTATAAAAATTTTCCAAAAGTGCTTCTTTTTCAACCCACCTATCATACAACCATTTAGACAATAATTCTGGTTCTCGCGGAACCTAGAAATGATGTCGCAATAAAGTATTTCTGTAGAAAACATAGATAAACGTTGGTTTATATTTCGAAACTTACCACTGAACTAGGAAAAACTCGATAAAACAGTACTGTTTCACACGGTGGTCTAGAACCAGTTATAATTGTAGGTAAATCAATTGGTTTACCTTGAGGATATGCTATTGTTATATCAAGAACCCAATTGATTTCTGGCTTAGCCACTATCATACCTGTATCACAAATAACGTCTATATATTCAATCGTAAAAACGTGAAATAATGCCATTGTTTAAAAGTACAATTTATCAGATTATTTACTTGCTCTATTATCTAATTGTTGTTCCGAACTATTATTATCCTGTGATGGACCAATTGTATCGTATATAGTCTGCATTGCTCCTACTCGAGGTAAAGATACATTTTCAAGGATAGGCAGATTATTCTTTTTACCATACTTTTGCGAAGTCTCTCGCCTTTTACATAAAAAACCTCCTTCTGGGAATAAAACCATCCACTTTCTATTAAGCGGAATATACGAGTTTACCAAATGCTTTTCTAGCTGCCTTAAACTCTCTTCCCTTCGTTTACGACCCTGACGAATAATAAAAAATATCTCGATTATGTATATTAATTTTCTATATTGTTAATGTATTATTAGATACGCATTAACTTACAGACATGATAAAGAAGTCTTGATGTAATATGGAAACTATGCCGAAATTGGTAAATTTAAAAATCCTGTCCATGATCCACATCAGATTAGGCAATACATTTGGTTTTGCATTAAATGTTGTCATTAACATAGGAACATCTCCGGTACTTTGATGATTTGCTATTACTAACGTTTTTTCGCTAATGATCTTTTGTATATCATCACCTTGTTCTATTACTGTCGATTTAAGATTCTTTATTATTTCCTATTAACATTTACACTATAATCAATACAGTGAGTTCTTCGGTTACACAGTTAATTCGTCGTGGAGCTTTTTGCATAAGTTAAATAGTATTACACATAATATATTACAAGGAGAAAAAAAGATCAGTAATGCAACAGCATGAATATGGTAAATGTGGACAATAAAATAATTTTTGTACAGTCATAAACCTTGTAAAGGCTGACTAAAAACATTCGGTCCAATATAACACACAATTTGTTCTAAGACTAATCTATTTTTTTCCCTATAATATGTTCATTATACTACTTTATAAAAAAAAACCTACAAAAAATGAAAACTGTATTTTACATACATATATATCAATTATATAAAAGGGTACAAATGAAAACATAACTGCATATCTACGAATCCGTGTAATTCAAAGACTCACTTTTTAGCTTTCGATTAGATATTTAATATTTGTGTACTTACTATCATAGCCTGCGGACCAAGTCCACATTGAAACCATTGCTAATAACCAATGGAAAAATAATCCTTCGATCCGCCAGTACACTTGAGGTTGATAAACTTTTACAGGGAATAATAGTGTCATCCATACTACATATGTAGGTATACAATAAGCATTGTTTAATATCACAAAGCTGGTTCGAACGATACATTTTATAAAAGTCAACACGTTACCAATTACCCTAAAAAGAAACAAACTATTGCGAACATTTTGTCAACAACAATAAAGTACACACGTAAGTATAATCTAAGCGATCATTTCTAAATATCCAAAATAATTCTTTTCACTTTTGTTACTCAACTTTTCAAGATACGTAATAATTTTATTTAAATATTTCATAATAATATAATTAGGTAGCAAGTTAATAAAATAACTCACTAATTGATCAATTTTACACTTTCTCTCGTATAAAAACTGATTTACCATTAATAAACGTGTAAATCGATGTAAAAATAAAGATAGTTTACAATGCTAATTCTTACATTACTGCGAAATTACCATATCTTACATGCATTATACAAACAACAAAACAGATAATATTATCTTTGCTCTTAATTCTGTTTTCAATGACAATTTTTAAGCAACATCATTTTTAGATATATTCTGCCAAAAAGATTTTCAAGAGAAATTATTTCTAATTTTAAATTTAGAGTTTCATCTATCAGAAGAATAATTGCAATTTAAACGTTAGTTATAAATATAAGGTAGACGAAACTTCATTATTCGTAAATTATAGAGTTCGAGATGTCGCAAACAAGTCAGTTTCCATATTAAAACGTTATTTACGTTCTAAATTTATGAAAAAAAAGATAAGTATGATTCAGTTTACGTTTATTATCGATTCGTTTGATTTGATATTACTAATTTGACCGCGTGACGCGATCGCAACCGTAGGTCAAGAAAAATTAAGAAACTACGATCGATTAATGGAAAACAACAAATAAAACCATGTCTTAATACCATCCACGAATCGTTTTAGAAATCGCATTAACCGATCGCACAAAGGCCGGCTCTCATCCGTGATTCTAGGTTAAGAATATGTTTAAATAATTATCTAATCAAAAGTTAAATATATGGTTATCATGAAATGTCTCGATGACACGTACGCGAGTTCTTTTTTTACGTTTACCGATAAAAGAAACGGAATAAGCTTTCGTAACACGCGTGTTAATGGAGAACGGGTTCATCTTACCTCGCGAAAGTAGAAGAAGAAGAAAAGTCAGTCATTTTTTAAGGGCACCGTTCGTAACGCGAACTCCGGCAAATTTCATCCACGTTTTTTCGACCATAGCATTTCCCCGATGCACAAATTACATAATAAGGATCATTAGATCGGATGACACACAAGGCCCGCGTGCTGTTTACATGAGACTCTCGAGTCTTAATAACAACACCGATACGGTAAAATCCAATCAACCTGCCGCGTGGCTTTATCGTAGAATAATTGTTCACGATATCGCCGTTTCTGATTCATGCACAGCTAGCAAGATAAAGCCATTGCTAGACGAATTTATCGGCTCGTTAACCATTCACGTGACATTTTTTTCAAAAATACACCATAGTTCTGTCACGTCTGCTATATGTGAAATCGCCACAGCGGACGTAACGTAAATAGAATGGCGACGAAAGTTAACAAGGCTGATGGAAAAGAATTTTGCGTCTTATCGATGTTTAAGCATACGTAATTCATCGATTACCTTGGCATTCGAAACTGAAAAAAGAACAACAATTAAAAGCGGAATAAGATTCCATAATCTGTCTGTCGTGTGATATGTTAAAAATCGCGTGGTTTTGAAAATTGCTAATGACCTTTTGGGTTGATGTAATCTTAAAAACAAAAAAAAAACGCAAAAAAAAGAAGAAATATGTTCGAAGTGTTCACATTTGCATTGATCAATTTTTCGTACAATTTCCCTCTAAAATACGTTCAATTATATCATTTTCAATAACGCGAAGAAACACGAAAATGTATCATAAAGTATACGAGTACGCTTTATACGTACTGATCTGATGTTTGGTCATCAATTTAATTATTAAGGAAGATGGACCAATTGTGAACGTATTTTGTCATGCGTTTGATGCCGTTTTATTTGCACGTGCAATATATTTAGCATCTGCGCGTAGTTGCTAAAGTACTATCTACCTATTACGTATTTTGTGTCTGATTTTCGAACCGCTCGCCGACTTCACCGAATAATCGGTTACGTTGGTTGGTTTAGTTTCTTTTAATATCCTGACGGATCGTTAAAAGAAATAAACTTAAAACACTTAATCGAAATGATGTCGAACGCGTTGAAACGTACACTCGTTAATCATGGATTACGGGAGTTCAAGAAATCCTCAATATTTTTAACATTAAGGACATCATCATTGAGCACATCGGCAGTTCTCAAAGGCAATTCTGAGGTAGTGATATTTTCGTATCAAATATGATTTGGCGGCATCGGGCCGTGTAAGTTTCACCGATGACATTATGCATGTTTGTTATGTCGTTTACCTTTTCCCAATTTCGTCAAATGATTTTTAAAGTAGCCCGTCACCGGTCTTTACATAATCGTCAACGAACCCGATCCTAAAATAATTTTCGAAAGATTATCGCGAAAAACACCGTATCACTTATGAATAATATTACTTGTATATTTTTAAAATGTCATTATGTCGTTTGCAATATAACAATTGAACGCTTTCTGACATTTAATCATTAATCAATCGTGTGGAAGATCGGGATATGCTTTAATGATAATAAACATTTTCAAAGCAACATTTTATCGGAGCACAATGGTACGTAACGAATTATTTGTATTTCTAGTAAGAATTTTTAAAAATATTTCGTTTTTTCGTGGACAGTCGGTTCCATATAATTGCGAAGGTCAATAAAACCAGTTAACTATATAATTTTAAAACGCTTAATTAACGTGATTGAACTTTTCTTTTTCCTCGAAACCTCCGAGAATTTATGAGCTCGTAAAAATCTGGCATGAGCATACACATACATTGCCCATATGTATATGTATTGTGACTAACTGGCTTCATTTGACTGACCTTGAATTTCCCCTGCTCAGACTACTGTTAATATCTATTGCGAAACTACACTTGCTTAGTTGTGTTATATAATTTATCCTTTTGTCATGGTATACATATATACATAATTCAAATTTTTTTTTCAACTTAATTTGTTCTATATCGTTTTAATAAATTTTTTCATATTGTAATTACAGGCTACTGAGTATCGGGTCGAAAGAGATACTTTTGGTGAGTTGAAAGTTCCTTGTGACAAATACTATGGTGCACAAACTATGCGATCAAAGATGAATTTTCCGATTGGTGATGCCTCTGAACGCATGCCTGTAAGAAAATGTGATAGATTTTGTTGTGACAAAATTTTTGTGTATAAATGCTTTAATTTATGTATATTAATTTTTTTAGTACAATGTAATTTGTGCAATGGGTATACTAAAGAAAGCTGCAGCAGAAGTAAATAAGGAATTTGGATTAGATGCAAAAATAGCAGATGCTATTAGCAAAGCTGCGGATGATGTTATAAGCGGTAAACTTTACGACGAACATTTCCCATTGGTAATTTGGCAAACAGGTTCCGGTACGCAAACCAATATGAACACCAATGAGGTATTTATTAGTATATGTTAACTAAAAACTTATGTAGAGTACAAACAATGTTTCTGATTCGCAATTTCTAATTAGGTAATCTCAAATCGTGCAATTGAATTACTTGGTGGTAAACTTGGATCGAAAACACCTGTGCATCCAAACGATCATGTGAATAAATCTCAAAGTAGTAACGACTCGTTTCCGACTGCTATGCACATAGCAGTCGCTTGTGAAATTAATAAAGTATTGCTTCCTGGTTTGCACTGTTTGTACGAAGCATTGAATGAGAAAGCTGAAGCATGGAAAGATATTATAAAAATCGGTAGGACTCATACTCAGGATGCTGTGCCTTTAACGTTAGGTCAAGAATTCTCAGGTTGGTATCGATATATTTTTCACATTTATATATGCAGCAAAATAATTACGAGTCAATATCAATTAATTCATTGCAATATTCAGGTTATGCAACTCAAATTTGCAATGGTATTAAAAGAGTAGAAAATACCCTTCCACGATTATACGAATTAGCACTTGGCGGTACTGCAGTTGGAACTGGTTTAAATGCACCGAAGGGTTTTGCGGAAAAAGCAGCGGAAAAGATTGCACAAATTACTGGCTTACCATTTGTGACCGCCCCTAATAAATTTGAAGCTTTGGCTAGTCACGATGCTATGGTAGAAGTGCATGGTGCACTTAACACGTTAGCAGCTTCAATTATGAAGGTACATTTGCAATTAATTAATCTCGTTTACATTAAATTATAAGCTGAATATAATTATTATGATATTTGTTATGTTTTTGATTTAGATAGCCAATGATATTCGATTTTTGGGAAGCGGACCGCGTTGCGGTTTAGGAGAACTGGCGCTTCCTGAGAATGAACCAGGAAGTTCAATTATGCCTGGTAAAGTAAATCCAACACAATGTGAAGCAATAACTATGGTCTGTTGTCAAGTAATGGGTAATCATGTTGCCACAACTGTCGCCGGTAGCAACGGGCACTTTGAACTTAATGTATTTAAACCAGTCATAGTTGCAAACACATTGAGATCTACAAGGCTTCTAGGCGACGCTTGTGCCGTATTTACAAAGAACTGCGTCGTAGGCATTAAACCAAATACTGAACACATTAAGAAGCTCTTAAACGAAAGTTTAATGCTCGTCACGGCATTAAATCCACACATTGGTTATGACAAGGTATTTAAATTCATCTTCTTGAATAACTAAAAATAAACATTTTACTATGATTTCGAATGTACGATAAAATGTACGTTTTATTTCAGGCTGCTGCAATTGCAAAACAAGCACATAAAGAAAATCTCACGCTAAAAGCATCAGCGCTGAAGAATGGCGTGACTGAACAACAGTTTGATGAGTGGGTCAGACCCGAAAATATGCTTGGTCCTAAATAAACATTTTTGTTAAACGGATAAATTATAGGAATTCGATTTTCGTTTATTTAACTTAAAATTTATACTTAATTTTATGAACGTGAAGAGTAATATTTATACTGCCATCGATATTGTACATGAAAAATTGTCTTTCGTATTTGTATGTTACGCGCAATAGATGATTTATATATTTCGTAATTAATGAAAAATTCTATTGTTAATAAATTCGGATGATACAAATACTCGTTGATTGTGTTTCCCAAATACTTTTACAATCTTTCACAGGCATAGTTATCATTACAGTATATTTATAAGCCAAAAATCTCTTATGTTATCTACATTATAACGCGAGGGCATAGGTCAATGAAGAAGAGCAACTATTTCATGTTCAATCACAAACTGAAACAACACATACAACATTAATATGTTATCCAGAATACAAAGTGTCATTGTTACATTTGGAGTTCGTTATTATGGCAAAGTCGGAATAATTGGTGTCCCATTTGAAAAAGGACAGGTATAATATAAAGTAATATTGCAATAACTGTTTACTTATTAAATTGATTGTACAGCGTAAGGAAGGAGTAGCACATGGTCCAGAAACGATTAGAGCAGCCGGACTAGTGCAAGAATTAAAATCTCTGGGTAAATATTAGATTCCATTAGTTCTCAATATTTTAACAAGTCTTTCAGCTAATTTCAATTATGTGTATTCCAAAATTAAATAAGGCTTGGACGTAAAAGATTATGGTGACATTCTGTACGAAACAAAGGATGTATTAGGTGTGAATAATATGTCTCACTTGGGCGATGTTGCTGGTTGCACTAATTGTTTATCGGAACAAGTTCAAAAGGTTTTAAACGACGGTCGTCGAGTATTAACTATTGGGGGTGATCATAGTTTAGGAATTGGAACTGTAGATGGTCATGTTAAGGTGTAGTATGAAAGGAAAGAATATTATTTATTAATATCGTCTATAACCACATATCGTATGTCATTTTTATAGGTAAAAAAGGATGTAGGTGTAATATGGGTTGATGCTCATGCAGATCTTAATACTAATAAAACTAGTGAAAGTGGAAATGTTCATGGAATGCCTGTAGCATTATTAACTTCTGAATTGGCTGATTATTGGCCACATCTTCCAGGCATGGATTGGCAGCAGCCTATGTAATTCTTATAAATATCCAAATATTTAAATCAATAACTTTACATTCGACAGATAGGAAATGTTGAAAACATTTTAGTCAATTACTTGCAGGCTATCTATTAGGAATGTGGCTTACATTGCATTAAGATCTGTAGATCGTTATGAAAGATTAGTTATTGAAAAATTTGGTATTACTGCCTTTGGCATGGAAGATGTTGAACGTTATGGTATTATTTCAAACTCCTTGTATATCACAAATATTTATTGCTTGCTAATTCATATTTTCTGTTAAGGGATTCATGATGTTGTTAATATGGCAATAAATAAAGTAGATCCTGATAATTCTAGGTCACTACATGTTAGTTTTGATATTGATTCAGTTGATCCTTTAGAGGCACCAAGTACAGGAACATCTGGTAAATGAAATTCCTACTTTTCACGAATTTGCTATGTACCAAAATAATTTTTATTTTAATATCCAATTTTATAATTTCAGTGCGTGGCGGATTGTCTCTTAGGGAAGCTATTCACGTAATGGAAGAATTGTATAGAACTAACAGATTGAATGCTGTTGATCTTGTAGAGGTAAATCCTCACATTGGTAATCATCACGATGTTCAATTAACAGTTCAGGCTGCTATACATATTATCCAAGCCGGTTTTGGTTATACAAGAAGAGGACTTAAGGTTCCGAAGGGTGTTACCGATATGCCTTTACAAACATTCAGATAGCAGTGTGTTTTTTTTTTATTCATATTCTAAATCTAAATTAATCTACCATATTTCCTCTTGTTCGAAGCCTATACACTAGCAAACTTTTATACACTTTTAAGCAGTACCATAAAAATATAACAGAGAAACAAAAAGCAACAATGTATTTCATGGAATTGTTTACTGAGTTTCTCGGATTACAAACATTTTATTTGGAATATCGGCAAATTTAATTTCCACTTTTGTTATTGTTGGTCTTTCGGGTTCTGCAACCAGAACCTCGTAATTTACAGTTCCTTTGGTATTAGATCCTTTTAAAGCGACAGAAAATTTCCTAATGTCATCGAGTCTTTCACTATAGGTTATTTTTCCTTCTTTTATCGGTTCCCCTAAATGTAGCACTGTTTTCTCATGATTACGAACAATTTCCAATGCTGCTTTGTATACTTTTGTCTGACGAAGCCGATTTTGGAATAAATACGACAAACTCGAACCAGTTACACCAATGATGCCAGCTCCAATTCCAGCTACTTTACAATACGTTAGTAGTGTAGGCATCTGTGCAAAAGAAAGGCATTTGTCAACTTATTTCAGTTAGTATTAATACTATGTAATAGAACTAATATAAATATTACTTATATAACTACATTCAAGATGTTAAATTGGGGCCTTTTGTAGGTTAGATTTTACCAAGGGATAAAAATGTTCAAAATTTAAACATTCTAAGTAAAAGAGATTTCTAAAATGAATTAATCATACATATTGACTACCTACCTTTATTTATACGACAAGTTTTAATTTAATACATCTATAAATTAACAATTTTTCTACATTTATACACTTTTCGAGTAACCTCCGTACATCGCATTAGACGGTACTACCAGTACTACCTATTTTCATGAAATACTAGGTCTTTAGTCGTATCTATATTTACAACTATACTCGTTACTTATGCAGAATGAATACTGCCAAAAATAAAATTATATCTTGTTAGCTAAAATTATGTCAAAGAAGCTAAAGTTTAGAACATTATGCTTTTATAATAGAATAGTATTTCTCAAGATTCCTCCTCTCGTATTGATGCAGAGTAATAAATATTACTCCGTGGTATTGATCTCTCGATTTGGGGCAACAAGTCATACTAAAGAAAAAAAAATATGTCAGTTTTTCATTTACATAAATAAGATTTCAAAAATCAATAATGCTTTAAGCGCATCTTTTTCCCATCGAAAATACTATTATTGATAAATATTATAGGAATTTTTTTTTATTTTTGAGAGTTCGCCATTTTAAAAGATGTAGAGTAGATTTACCACACATTGTCACGCGATCGAATTGACTATGATAATTAATTTTCCACTGCTCTATAAAAATCTAACGAAATTTAGTAAATGAAAATTAAGAGAAACATGCTCTAATTAAGTATGGGTAAGGAATACGCTCTTGAATAATAAAGATTGTCCGATTTATTTCTTTATTTCAACAAACACAATATTTCTAATATCTGCACAATGCATCAGAACAACTGTGTTGCTGTACACAAAGAATTTTTAATGCCAGTTTTGCATACAGTCAGTTAACAGTTTTCAAGTAAATTACACATTTGTGAAGGAGTGATTCGAGTAACGGGATGCCTTTACTTTTGCGCGTCAATGTTACTAGTTAATTTTAATTTTAGATACATATGGACATTACAACAATATACACTAATTCCGTAAGCTTAATATGCTCCTCCCTCTGATAGTGAACTACAAGTTGTCAGGTATATTTCTCTAGATAAATATAAGTATTCTCGGTGATATAGTAAACTTTGCTCACACATATTTCGATAAAATCTTTATGTACAAAAAATTACAAAAACTGAATCGTCACGAAATCCATTATGACGTATACAAAAACGAAGATTGTATAATTCACGTACAATAAGAGGTATTCCATAGAGCGCATACACAGATTATCAGAAATGTATCTTATGTAAAATTAATATACACATTATAATATATAAAATAAGACTAGATGCGAGTGTCACGGGACCCTACCTAAACTCTATGGTCAATAGAGAGTGTAATTCGAGACACAACTCAGAAGCAAAAAATTGCCTGCCTTAACGCAAGAGTATGCGGCACAACAATGGCTGAAAGCGTACTGGCAAGAAGAAGAGAGCAAATTGTATTCCTCAATATTTAATATCATTTTTTCCTGATTTTCATCGATTTTTTCCCGTGAGCTTTACGGTACTCTCACTAAGTGGGACACAGTACTGAAAGTAAATAATTATTTTATTCGTACATCTAGTGTTGCAGAAGCGAACCGTAAACGGGTCTTAAAGTCCCGAGGATCCAGGACTTTAAAACTCATTTTACTGCTTATGTAAGACTCGCTCTTACAACACTACGTATATCAATACTTCCATATCAAGTTACAGTAATGAAATACACTAATGAAATTTTATTACCTTTGAGTATATAATCCGTTAATAAAGTAGGTACGGTTGGACTGTCTTCGTTAATTGCTTTTAATACTGTAACAGAACGTAACGGCGAAACGTGAGACTATAGTAATCGGTATTTACTTACCGGCACTTACTTTTTATGAGAACCTGTAAAGCTTGATTATCTGGTGGGCCACTATCCGTATGGTATGGGATTACAGTCGTCAGATACTAAAAATAATATCGTCGCGGTTCATCGTTTGTTAATCTTAATCGTCTATCGATAAAAAATGTTCCAATGTGTATTACCTTGGATTCGTGTAGAGATCTATGTTTTGGCAAAGGACTAGTACCATTTTGCATTTGATTTCGTTTTTTTGTAACGTGATGCTGCCTACGGCGGTTTTGTACTGCTAACAGCAACGAGATAAACTGATTTTTCAGCTCCTTCTCGTACTCTAACTCGTCCCTTAACGCTAGCTCCGCGATCAGAGTCTCGCTCAGAGCTCCGACCAACGATTCCATTTCGCCAAGTAGCTCGGTCAGTTGACTGCAGCTAAGTTGTTTCAGCTCTAAAACAAACATTAACAATTCAGCTTAACGGAGCCCATATTCTGATATGATTTGTTGTTTCAGATCAACCGATGAAAATATACTTTTCTCGTGAAGCGGCGAGCCGAGAACCTCTCTGCTCCTTTCTAGAGCCTCGTCGCTATCCAATAAGGAGCCATCCGAATCTGGCGATCTCTCCATCGAAGGACTCTCCTACGAGCAAGATTATTTATTATAACGATCATAGCAACATTCTCGTGGGCGTGGATTTATGTAACTTCACTCGCGTTAAGAGCCATGATGATCTTAACACTTAACAATCCTCTTGCTCTTTCGAGCGATTGTTTATTTTTTAGCGATACAATTATTACAGAATTAAAATTTACTAATTTACTAACATTTTTTAATGGTTGCAGAAAAGGACTAGAATCAAGGATTCGATCGAAAGAGCAAGAGGAATATCAAGTTCATTTTACCCAGGACCAATAACGAAATTCAGATCTTAATACTTGCTTGCATTATGTCGTCTATTTCGCGGAGTACTTCCTCGGCAGTCTTCATTGGTTCCTCTGGACTGTGCGTGTCGGTGCTGCTGGACAATATCAAAGCATGCATGTCCAAATCAGTTGCAACAGCCTCGTCTTCGCTACTTAAATCCTCTAGTTCCGGTCTACAGCAAACAAAACGAAAGCGTCCAATTTGCAAATATTAAATGCGGCATCGCATATCGACGATCACGCTTTTGGTTTCTCTCCGTCGTCCCGAGGAACGACCATTTCAGCAACGAAAGCAGCAAACGAACGTTGACTGTGGAATGGCACATTGGGATCTTTCTTCAACTTCTCGACATTTCAATTTAGTACTCTTAAACCAGACACTCGAAAGTGTTCCAGTAAAATCCGAGAGATCCCAGTGTGACGCGCGATAGTCAGAAAAATAAGGTACCATTTACAGGGTTAAAAAGAGTAGAAAACAACGAGCTCTCACCTGTCGTTCGATATCGGTGCTTCGTTCAGATTTAGCGCAGGCATGTGCATTTTCCTCGCGTACGATTTGCTCCAGTCGATCGGTAGCATGTTACCAAACGTGCCAGTGATCGTCCACCACATTCTAAACCGATCACGATCAATTATTCGATAATTAGAGGAAGGAAGGAAAAGTATCATGAGGATAGTTTTAATTCTTTTTTCATTGGAAAGACAAACATCGTAGGGCGTGTTGGTAATTATGCGTACGCTATACCAGCTGACTCATATCCTCTCGTTAAATTCCTCTCTGACGTTTTCAAACTACGAATCGAATTAGCAGATTCTATTTTTGCTTCTTAGCGCTTATACCGTTTCGCAGAATGTACGGTCGAACTTCTCGAAATAATTTATGGGGCCATATAGTTCATTTTTTATATTCGATTAGTTCTGTTCTTTATTTTTTCATTTTCATTTTGCAGGAAAAGACGATAAGATCGTGCAACCATATTTGGGACAAGTCTGAAAGTTCTTCACAACTGACGACAGTGACGCATTAACTTTTGGGCCAGGCACCGTCACTCGCTTTAGCCCGAGGGCCAGTTTGCCACTCTGGTACCATGGTACCAGAATTATTTATCAACGAAATACAGTATTTTAAAGTATTCTGTCGTTCAAAGAGATTCGCCGCTGGTTCTTCGAACCATCCTCCGGGTGTACCCGTTTCTAATGATCCAAGAATGGTGATCCCAGTTCTGGTCGAACCACTATCGCGTTCGATCGCCGCGGAAAATCACGGCCGTTAAATTCAATTAAATTCGATCGAACGGCGGATCTAAAAATACCGTCGCGGTCTCGTACGATTACGTTTGTTATGCAATTCTAATTGTTTACAAATCATAGGTGTGAGAAACGGGGCCCATTCATTTGCCGTTCACGGGCACATACGAGAATTCATTTCCTTAGAATGGCCGCTATTGTTATCGAAATGAGTCGCTCTCTGTTTTGCACGAGATCAAACGCGTCCTTTATCTGTGTCTACGCGTGTACGTGCATACAACCCAGGAAACGCCTACGAGCCGAGTGATTCACACGCTATCCTAGAAAACACAGACCTAACTGAGCGCGTGTCTCCGACGTGAAATCTTATCGCTTCTTTCATAGACGTTTAACGCGCCAACGAATGGCCTGGGAATCATCGACTTATTTTCGCCACCTTTCAATCTAGATCGCGGTTCGACGCGTCTGTGAACCTTCCGGCCTCGATCGAACGGGTTAAAAAGTATCGTAAAACAATGGCACGTTGATATCTTCGCTCGAGACAAAATGAAATAAGCGAGATATAAAGTTTAAAAAAAAAACGTTTTACTTACTCGACGTACGAGGGATATATTCGACCGACCCCTTAAATTATTTAATTTCGGTCAATTCAAGATAATTTAGGAACACGACACCATGACGTAGGACTGGAGAAGTTAAAAGAGGGGATTACTTAAAATGGCGTGTATTAATTCCATCAAGTCCCTTAATCGTGTGCGTTACAAATAGTTTTTTTCAGTAAATATACACGATGGAGATAATTATAGCTTTAATAGAACATGTAATAGAAATGGTGACCATAAAATTAGAGATTAAGATAATCTAATCTTTTTATTTTGTCGTTTCAATAAACGTACACGTAAAAGTGAATTTTTTACTTTCTTGGGTTTGCAGCTTGCGTAAGGTTTATTGGGCGAGCGAGAGCAACGTCCAATTTCAGCGAATTCCACGCTCGGGTCATAATTAATCGAGTGTAATTATGGTCGACCTGCGTTCGCGGTTGCTCCGTGAAAATGAAAATTTTGTAGTTTTTAATGATTCTTAGCGAGGTTTCTGAAGTGTTAAATTAAATTGTAGAGGGTTGAAACGTTCTTCAAATCGACTTACAAGAGACGGTTAAATAATTACGATTTAATGGGCCCTGTTGATTAAATTGGCGGTTTCCGTTCGAAGTGTACAGGGTGTTCTTTAAAATTGATTGAGATATTAAAATTGCAATTTTTCCATTGTGTTTGTCTTACTGTATGCGGCCAAATAACAATGTTTTTTAATTTTCTCACAGATGATTGGACATAACTTTTGACGATACTAACACGGTCAGTTTTCAAAGGGACACCCTGTAGTATTCCGCGGTCACTACATTGGAAATAAAAGGAGCGCACAGAAGAACAGCGACCGGTCGATGGTGTTGGATTAACAAATGGAGGTCAATTCGACCCACTTGAGTTTCTCATTAATGTTAAGTGCATTAAAGCAGTGACTTCATCTTGCGCGCATGTCGATCGCATCAAAACGACTAAACATTTGAGCCGGGGTGTAGCCGCTGAACGAATCATGGTTGGGTTGAAAATCGATATGCTCCAAAAATTGAATTATAAGGGAAAAAATACCCCACGCGCTGGTGTAAACATTCCCAGGCTCTAATATACCAAAAGGGGCATCGAAAGGGACAGTCTTTTTCTCGATTCCAATAATTTTCTCTAGTTCTGAGTCATTTAAATATGTACAGGGTGCTTCAGAAGCGACGAACATTAAGGATTTATAACAAAGATACACGAAAAGGTAAATAAAAGATGAACAATACAATTTGTTGGAATAACTCCTGGACAGTGAAATTAAAATATATAGAATATTACATTTATCGTATAAAATTATTGCTTAAATTTTCCAGAGCACAGATAATAGTATAAATAATCTGTAGATAAGAAGGTGCTTGAAAGAAACTCGTGGTTACGACCTATATGTACCATCGATCATATATCATAATGATCTAAATAGATCTTGACGCATTCGATACAATTGTTTAAAGTGATTTCTTTTTATCTACTGATAATTTATATTACCCGTGTTTTGGAAAGTTTAACCAACAATACCTTTTCTAAGAAAAAGAAACAATGTTTATCGTGTCTAGGTATCATCGCGAACGGGACAGGAAAGAGTGCTTTTCTTTTTTGCAATGGCTTCCGCGATTGCCCTATCTATCGCGTTCAGGCTACCCCCGTGTACCGAGTCAATAATTGGAAAGCACCGGGAAATTCAATTCCAGGGATGGATCTATCTCCTGCTTATTAATTCATTCTTCGGTTCAACGATCCGCTACGAGCTTCGTACGTTATCTGTTGCGTAACACCGATGGTTTACGAGCAAAACAACGTGTTTGCGAATATATCATCCAACGATAATAAAACTGTTACGTGGCAATTACCATATTTAGAGTCAGAGTAGTCTGCTGAAATCGCCAGGACAATATATGGAATGGAAAGGACGAAACCGGTTAAGGGATTACGCCACCTTCGAGTCGACAACACGGTGGACGTGTTTATGAATATTTTTAAACGACGCTGTTCGCTCGATCAAAATTACTTTTTTTTATCGCGACTAAAACAAATTATTTTTATAAAAAATTGTTTGCGCTTGATACTAAACGACTCGCACTTTCATATATTCATTGATAAGATAAAGAATTAAATAATCTTACTGGACCTCGTATCGGTTATCTGTAAATATATCAATGACAGTTAAACGCGAAATACATAAAAAGTAAATTAGTACGAACGAACATATTCTAACTTGCATTTTATAACGAAAAAATATTTCTATTTGTTTCGCTGCAAAAGTGGCGTAACCTCTTAATATGTCGTGCATCGAACGCGCCACTTTCAGCATATTTCTGCCAGCTCTTTGCGGCATATTGACGTCGATGCGCTTTCGTGTTCCTTTCCCCGACAAAAATGCTATTGGAATCCGTCTTTGGCACAGTCAACGAAAAATTTGACGCTATCTCAGTAGAATTTACATTTATATTCAGAATAATAAAGAAATTAAACAGATACGACATACGCATTGCTTATTTTCCCTCTTAATTTTCCTGCATCATGTATTGTGCATTAGACGCCTAGCCTGATCTTTTGTATTTCCGGTTAGAATTTCTCTCTGCATAAAATATTTCTGAACAAGGTCCTGGTCGGTACTGAAACATAAAAATCGACTCAGACGCGACGTATGTACAGACACCCCGTCTCATTGTTAATATTTCTTTCATAAATCGGAATAAATTTAACCGAGCGAAACGGGATGCGAATATGCGATAGCCAGGGAATATCATCGCGTCGGTGGTCGTTGGTTGGTTCGTATAGCGCATGCGCAGCTTTATTGACGTTTGTCCATCCGGAGGGTGGCTCGATACGAACGACGGAACAAAACCCAGAGATCAAATTTTCATGCCCTCGCGGATTCGATCATGCACGATTTCTTGCCACGAGGCGATCGTATTACCGGTCGTTCGAGAATCTGAACTTCGTTGTCCCTTGTGTTCTTCGTGATCGCGTGAGTATTTATGTTTATTAAGGTTAACGCATGGCGGCGAATTCACCATCCGTCGACGATCTTCAATTTTAGGCGAACAAAGCTCCTGGATACCGCATAAGCTTCCCTCTGTATACGAGGGCATAGTATTACGTTTACTGTACAGCGGAGTCTCTCTGAACCGAGTTTCGTCTAATCCACTTTCGATCCAGCGTAATCCGAAGTCGCGATACGAAGAAAAATTTGTTGATACAGCGGTAGCGAACAGAGGTCGCTCGATTCAATCTTTTTAGGGTTTCTTTATTCAGTTTTGCGTGTAACGTCGAACGACCGCAGTCGTTCGTTGTTCTTTACACGTATAACATACCGGTAGACGGTTGGGAAACGAAATAGAAGAGGAATTGAAAAGTGGCTCGATGAATAGAGTAAAAATACAACGGCGTAATAATTCAGTATGCGACAGTGACAGCGATGTTGCGATGACTCACACCCGAGCGATCTCAGCACGGTGATGGGTAAAATTCTTATCTAGATCAGGGACGGATCCAGAGGACACGTTCCAGGGGGCGAAATATATAGAAAACATTTGACATATTACGTTTCACTTTTTAGCAGTGGAAAAATTTCACTAAATTACGTTTACGTACCGAAGAGAGGGGCACTCGTGTTTCAAGGCGAGCATGAGCTATCGTTTCTTCAAATTGCTCGGACAATCAACAATTTCACGGCTTTTAATGCGTGACGGGAGAAGAGGAGAGGTCGTCGCGCGCACGAGAATCTCGGACGGCCCGCGGCCTCAAAAGGGGACGAGGGAGAAAAAAAGAAATTGAAAGAAAAGGAAGTTGTTGGGCGCCGTGGGGCGAGAAAGCCTTTCGGATCGCGCGAGCGAAAAGAAGTCGAGCGCGGGGCTACCGTTTCGTCGCATTTGAAAGGAGGTGGGTAAACGAATACGACCTTGCTTTGACCTGTGATTTCGTTCGACAAGCGGCGCTCCCAGTCAACAGACTCTACGCGCGACAAATTGGATTACTAACAATGCCCGCGACACACACCGGATATGCACGCGTGGATGCGTTTTATTCTTTCGGGGCCCGATGCGTGCATACGAAAGCGACAGCAATGACCGAACAGAGACACGTGCAACAGCACGTGTCGTATCTGCCAACGTCGGCCGCTGACCTCTAGCTGACTTCTCCTAGAGGCTTATATCGAAACGATCAAGAAGACTGAAATTGGACACTGCTCGTGGACCTAACCTAATCCAGAAATTTAGCAAGGAGAATGGGCACGTAAAAATCGACAGAGACGAGTAGGACTCGTTGCAAGTTTTTATACAGTTTCGCGAATCGAAAGGTCTCAAAGCTATTCAAACTTTTTCCAGATCGTAGACTCTTCTCGTAAGATGAAATCAGTCCGATCCAGACTGAGTGAAAGATGGATCTTACGTACTTACGCCGTATCTAATTATACGCGCGACTGCAGTTACGTTCATGCTAGGTGCATTTGCTACGAACCTGTAAACTGCAAAGTCCATTTAGGAATAAAAAAAGAAAAACAGTTCCCGTTACGCTTCGAGCAAAGTTCGACGACAGACTGAATAGACAGTTCACGAAGGTTCAAGTACGAATGTATACACGGCTGGGATTCACAATCGAACAGATACCGATTCTAAAACAACAGCGTGGGCCGTTGGAAACGCACCGCGACAATACGAAGGTTAACATTCGGAAAGCTGTTCCGCGTCGCGGTATTTGCATAGTTTCCGAAGAAAATTGCTTCGTCATTGTTCTTGTTTTATTCATTTCTGCGACGTTCTTCCGATCGGCTTGACAAAAGTCTAGACTCCTAGACGGATTTTGCGCGACGGAGGCGTGACTTCAAAGAAATTATGCACAACGGTGGACAGTGAAGTTCAAACGAGTTTAAGAGCCCTGGCGCGTTGCTCTATACCGAAGAAGATACAATTTCACGCTTCGTTGGGCTTCACCTGCAGTCTCGCGGCGCTTGTTAGAAGGCACAATTCGGTCGGACACCTGCAGCGTGCGGCCACAATGAATATTCCCTGAAAATATTTACCCGGATCCCTTTCGACCCCAGCCTTGGTAAATTTCGATTTTATTTCCCATCGAAGAATGCTTTCCCGACCGACCATAAAATGTTTCTACAGCTGAAAGAATATTTCCCCGGTTTCCCGACCTTCGCGAACGTTTCGTTTTACCTGAAGCGCTTTCCTATCCGAGTATTAAAATTAGTTTTCATACTCGAGATAGGAGTTTCCATTTACACCCAATCTCAAACTATTTAAAATTGTAATTCTGTTTTTAAACACAACCATTAAATTAAATTGAAAATTCAAATTAAGAAATAACTCTGAAAGGATTGGCCGTAGAGAACAAAGGCGTGATGAGGGTAACAGATTTAATCTACCTTCAGATTAACGAAGTAGATTAAATCTGCTACCCTCGTTGTCTGTTATAATCTACTGTTATCTTCAAGAATTTTTGATAGGCATTATCGATTTTCACCGAGAAGGACCAAAATAGTCGAGTCGGAAGCTTCTTATTTTTCCTTGGGAAATAAAGGCACGCTTGCCAAATAATACCAATTGTGTATTCCTTTTGTGAACTATTCTTTGAGACCGTTGCACTCCTCTGGTAGAAATCGGACCAATAATAATGCGCAAGAAAGTAGAACACAGCCAGTTTAAATGCTAAAAAATGTGAAGCATTGTACTGACTGGTAAATAGCAAAGTAGGCTTCTCATCATGCTCAGTGAGGTTTATCAGTACAATGATAAAACAGTACTGAATATAAATGGTTATATTCTATATTTCTTTTCGTTATATCTGATAAAAAAAAATGTACACTGTATCTAGATGCAAGCACAAGAGATTTAAATATAATACAATTGATATGATTATTATTCTTGGAATTTTTCCATGTAACAAAAAATTAAACTGACATCTTATGTAATGTGTATTTAAATTTAAACAATATACACAATACAAAGATACAGCTTATGCAACCGAAATGTCGTTAATGCTTTGTATCAAAATTCTATCTGTACGTTTAAAATAGATGTTAAAAATACTTTGCAAATCGATTATGCAGAGTTGATTTGCTATTCTAATTAGAAGGTGAGTTTCTTTCTTGTTCTAGCACACTGTCCACCTTCGCAGAGAGAAAGCTGCAGAACTCGCCGCAAACGTCATGTAGAGAGTACTCGTGGCGGCACACTTTTCAGTTGGAAAATCGATATAGTGATCTTAAGGATCAGTCCTTGCGGCAAGTACCGTGCATCTTTGCAATAATGCTTACAACTCGGTTATAAATATCAAATATATGGTAAACGCACAACGACCAGGCATCTCTAACCAACGATTCTTTTGCAAACACTTTTGGGCAAGGTGTTAACGTATGATGTAAAATGCATTGAGAAAGATCGTTGCACAGTTTCATAACTGCATGCATAAGTAAGTTTGAGGAATAAAAAGGAACGATGTACGATGCACCTACTTATAACGCTACGACCATTGCTAACAAAGGTTCAAGTCTATATCGAAATAAATTATTTCCAGCCGTCGTTCGCTGATGTATTTGTTTTGAACGTATCAATCCTCGGATCCACCGCAAGCAGCTCCAACGAAACCATACGAAGTCCCCGTTCAGCGATATCGGTTTAGCGCGAGCATCAAGTGAAACTGTTCGCGCGTTTAACGCGTGTATCGAAGAAAGCGTTAACACGAGTATTACTTAAACAGGATATATTATCTGCAAACAACCAGTCTTGGATCGACGAGAGGCGTGATCCTCGGTTACCCCTTTTTGCACGATCTTGTACGAACGATAAATTTACGACGTAAAACGAGGGACTCGCTTAGCTAGCAGGGGGTTCCCGACGTTCTTTGAATTATGTCACTGAAATACCGCCTGGCGGCCTAGTGATTACAATTCCCGCGCGACTAATATAACGGCGATGCCGTAAACGATTACTTCCGTTCGTCCGGAACACGCCGGACCATAATTACCACGCGGACTACGGGCGATGGATCGCAGAGACTGCACACACGGGCTCGTAATAGATATCTCAAGGTAAATGCGACAATTTGAACGCGATAACTCGACGATCTTCGGGGTATTCATTTACCCGTGCCGCCGCTACCATCGGCGGTTTATTTTTTAATCGTACCAGGTGGTCGTGCGAACCGGTATAACTGTACCCGGAGATATCGCGTGACCCAAGGGTAATGGAAACTTCTCAATCATACACACTTACTGACATAATTTTCACTCGCGCAATTCCTTCATTTTTTTTTGTGAAATTACTTTTAAAGGTTTCTGGACGGATGCAGGAGGATTGGCCGGGATGCTTGTCTTTGAACAGGTGCTTTCACAGAGTGGACCTAAAGGAAATGGAAATTTCTCAATCACATGTGTTTACTCAGGGCTATACGTAGGTATTTTGGTGCCTGGGCCAACAATGGCGTACGACGCCCATTGCTAATTTGATAATTATTTACTTTAGCGATTCCTCGCCAATTTCGATGACCTTCAAATATATTGTCAAGGTCACTGTCATGAAGATTTCGGGGCTATGTCTATTGTAATTGACCCTTGCAACCGAAAATAATTTTTTCAGAACGTTTTGAAATTGTTTTTTTCGCCGAAAAATTTAGGCAGCTACTCGAATTTTTTTCTCGAAAGTGCGCAAGAATTCGGGTGTATGTCTATTCACCAAAAATGATTGTAATTGACCCTCGTAACCGAAAATAATTTTTTCAGAACGATTTGAATTTTGTTTTTTCGCCGAAAAATTTCACTTTCTCGAATTTTTTTCTCGAAAGTGCGTAAGAATTCGGGGGTACGTCTATTCACCAAAAATGATTGTAATTGACCCCCGTAACCGAAAATAATTTTTCCAGAAAGATTTGAAATTTTTAATAACTTCTTAACGAAGCCTCAATCAACAAATTAGTATCCTTGATTTTCGTCTTATTTTAGCCTTTAAAATCCCCCATTTAAATTTTTTCCCAGTATAAATTTGGTAAAAAAATAAGGGTTTTGATTAACACATTGACAAAAACAAAAACCTTGGGGCTCTTGAGAACTTACTGGCATTCGTTCATGATCTCTTCCTGTGTCCTCACTTGCACGGGGGCCAAAGATTCGACGTCGGTGCCGTAATCGCGAAAGCAGGATGTTATCTTCTCGTCGAAGGTATTAACAAGGTCCTCGAGACTGCCGCTGAAGGGGCTGAATGTCCCCTCGTGGAGGGTATCAGCGGTGCCATTTTCGTGGGTCGACGTCGGCGGCTCGTTCGCGTTGCAATTCTCGCCATAATCCGCGTCCAGGCTGGCATCCAGCAATTGTTCTAAATATAAAAGGAATCCTCAGGTTTAGTTGCACTCTGAGCGAAATTACAAAGATGGACGAAAAAGACGTTCGAAGGAGTAAGGTCGAACTCAGCAAAAAGGTTGCATAGTCGAAGAACTTAAATATATTATAATAATATAATTATAAAAGTACATCAAATTTTCATTGAGTCTGTTCTTACTCCTCTAAATGCCACAATTCTGATCTAGATAGACATTTCGAGTGATCAATGAAAGACAAGTTACTCTCGCAATTAGTTTACAATCGGTTAATATTAACAATATCGAGACACAGACTAATGTTATTGCGTTTTGTCCCGGACCGGAAATCTCAACTTATCAGTAAAGCCTATCTAGCAGATCTTGTCTTAGACACGACGTTATTGATCGTTTGAATAATCTGTTCAAATTAATTAAGTACTAATAAACTATCGAGTAATTGGAGGGTGTTGAAACGATTAATGGTGTCATGTCAATAGCAGAATCTACGAGATAAGTCTTGTCGATAAATGCAACTCGGGGCGACGAAACGCAATATTAATCCTTGTACCAAATATATTATCAAAGGTTATCGAAACTATTTTCAACCGTACAGTATATTTTTAATAACGTGAACCAAAATATATTATTTTATTCCCGTCTTTATCGGAGAGTCTGGCCGGTAAAAAATGGTCTTTGATTTTATCGCCCCCTAGCGAAAAAGGTTGTGCAGCACCGTCTATAGTAACCTTCTCGTCGCTGAATTAATCAATGGTACGAATAGACTGTGCTGAATTAATTTCACGGTTCGTTTTGTAACCCTTTCCACTTGTACTGCCAGTAGTGTTGACAGTTTAGAAATCTATGAAACGTACAATTCGATCAATTTTTTAAATTAATAAACTTACATACATGTATTAATGGTTCACTTTCGCAACAAGCGAGTAGTTGCTTCTGAAAAATTCTGTTTAATGAATATGCGTTAAATGAAATAAAGAGGCAAAGAATTCTACAGAATTCGTACGAGTGTTTTCTTTGACTCGAGCATCTAGAATAATATGGTTACCAGAGCACGCTCGAGCGCAGCAGTTGAAAGGTTACCGAGGGTAACAGTATACCGTAAACCGCCCACTGGAAACGCTATGTGTACATTTTCATCGATATTTTGACCAGAATCTCGCGGATTGGACAATGTTGTCGTTATGCGTCATCTAATTGATTGCAACGACACGCGAGCGAGTACGAGTCATCGCTGTTAGTCGATTCGAGGGAAGAGTAAACACGAAGAGCCCGACCAGTCACGGGACGCAATAAACGCGAAAGATGGGTCACCGTTTGTACACAGGTAACGCGTTCGACTTACAAGGCAACCGGTATTAATTACGTCTGCCGCCATCCGGGTGTTATCAATTACATAAACAGTGGATCGCGTACTTTCGCGTGGAAGCCAGTGACGCATAGCAGATCGAATGTTTTCGTCGGGATTAAATATCTAACGCTTTAAATATTTCGTGGCTTTTTTGTTTCGAATTAAAAAAAACGCCGGTAGTCGCGTAACTAACAACTTTCCGTGTTTCCGCGCGTAAATCGCCGCTCCGTTTCGCAGGGCGGCTTTCGTGCGTGAAAAACAATACCTGACCGTACCACGAAGACAACCTCGAAAACTTTCGAAACAACGCTACCTTAAAACACAATTACGTTACGCGCGTTTCGTAAAATAATTGTATGTCTGAGGACAAGGAAACTATCGATCGATAGCACGACGCGAGTATCACGATTGCACGGTGATACTGTTCTCAAATTACAGTTCGACTCGTATTGAAACGTTCGCAATTAACTCTCACTCTCGCAGACCCGTATAAAGGCTCCTATTATCCTATATTTTCTGTCGTCACGCAATCTGACTCGTGAAAATGTAATCGTTTTTTATCGCCGTTGGAAATATGTTCGAATATGGGTAACGTTTCACTGCCGTTACGTCAAAGAAAGAGCTACATTGTTTTCATTCCGAATAACGTAATTTTGAGTAGAAGAAAGGTACGGGCAGCTCCGCCCGTAGGATATTAGACACCAATTGTACGCGTGACGTAGCCTTTTGTCGTGCTCCGAAGGTCGGTTCTTCATGGTGGCTAAATACGCTACGCCACCCTCGTCATTTGATTCGCACGTCTGCAAAACGAGCGTGACCACGCGTACACGCACATTTCACGCGTTTACGCGGCCACGGAACCTGTTCCCCACTACCGCGACAACTCTTTCGGTTTCGAAATTTCCGCTTATAGATACGCCTAGCGCTGACTCGCCGGGTTTTCAGAAAACCAAACAGGGACCATCGACCGTACGCGAAATGTTTTCGTAAATGTGCAACTACGGTCACCCGCTTTCGATACGGTTCAAGATCGATCGCCACGCGAGAAAATGTCAACCCGTTTTCGGTAATCCGACGATTTCCGTCCGTTGTCGCGTCTCTTTCTTTCAGAAAAAGTACAGAGTACGGCAAACCCGTACGACCTTCCACGAATCGTTTTCATTTATATGTATACCTCGCCGAGTAGTATCACCCAGTTTCGAGGCAGTTCGCGAGATCGATTACGACGAGAATAGAGAACGACGATGCCCCAAATCGCCCGTAGTCTCGAGCCGGCGACTCTCGGTTTCGCGTAATTTTGGCACTTGATGCAATACGCTCGTAACACAATCGTCGCGAATCGGGAGCATCGCGATAAACTTTCGATCCGCGGCGAGGTTACGCGGACCCGTGACAGAGCGGCGTGCGGGGATGCACGGCAAACGAGTACGCGACAAAAAGATATATAACGACGTGTGTTCTCGCACCTGTCAGCAGGTTCATATTCTTCAGGCTGGCTGTGTCCTCCTCCTCGAATCGTGCGAGGGGTGCCTCGAACTTCAACTCGGCGATCTTGCCCGCCATGTCCCTCATTATTGACCGTGTGGACAACCCGGGAGCAGAGTCGATCACCGCGATGAAATTCGGCACCGTACACTTGCGGCGGCGCCCCCGAGGCGCTCCGTCTTCTTTGTTTTACGGTATTTCACGGGGGGTAGGCGAGAAAGGGCGAGAACACGTAAAAACAATCCGAGTACCACGCACAATCCGCCGCATGCGAGAGTTCGCGAACGACTGACGCAGAGGGGGCTCGTTTGAAATGTAGTGGGGGAAGATGATTGCTCGTTGCCATGACGACCGCTGGCTGAGCGCGCCGATGGCACGAAGCATCGTCAGTGCCGTATAATGGAACACCAATCGCCCTGTAATTCGACGACCCCAATTTCGAAATAACATTGTTTAAAAGTCGCAGATGCATGTATAGTTTTTTGTCGTTACGAATAATCGATCGTTACGTGTTTTCTTACTTATACATCGTCGATACAGTCGATTTCCGCTGCATGCAGAGTGATGCGTAAACAAATCTTTCCCGACATCGATTCTCATGTGGTTCCATAGACTAGGCACACTATATAGACCCAGTAACTTATGGGAATTGTGTTACGCAGACTGAAGTACCGACTTCGTGATAAAGTAGTGACTTGCTGCGCACTCTGTGGATAGAAATGGTAATTCTAGGAGTTATATTCGACTCATTTACCGATGTTGGTAAAGGAAGCAAACGTTGAAAACTCGTTTTTGTATTATAGCTGGAATTGTATCACATAAGAGGTACAGACATAGACGAGGTATACGAGTTGACCTTTCACCCAACGTATTTTTTCGACACATTTTTCTAATTACCATTTTCGTGTCACTCGCAACGTTACCAACAGATTTAGAAATGAGCACAAGAGGAAATGAGATAGAAAATGAAATTGCAGAAATTTTATTATTTTTTAACGGAATGAAAGTTGTACGGTCCATCATTGGGCATTAATCGATTAATTTCATTGGAGTAATCAATCGATTAAGATTATTTAAAAATTTCAAGATTATTAAAATATCTAAGGCTGTACCTAATTGATACGTACGATTGTAAGTAATTATGACCATAAAATATGTCTATCTTTTTACCATTTTGTCGAAGAGCCAGAAGTGAATCCAGAATATGAGATTATACCGTCCAGTAAATTGAAATTTCTTTCTGTTTTGTGATATCCACTTAATGTCCCTAGTAAAGTTCCTCGTTCCAAACGTTACATGAAAACTAATAATGTTAGGAAATTCCAGTTTTGATAAGCTACAAAAAAGTATTCACATATAATTTTAAACGTACACATTACCGTCTATTATGCAACATATATAATAATAACAACTAAACATTATGAACAACGATTTATTAAATTTATATTTAAAAATATTTTTACCTGAATTTCATAGTCTGACCAATCAAATATGTTACTAGACCTATATATGCTTTTTCGTTGTAATGTAAATTCTCCTTTTGGATATATCACGTGATTTCCGTTCAGTTCGGTCTTTTCTTTGCGGTGGATCTCGAAACTCGGGTGCTTGTTCTCTCTTGTAGAGCTAAGGTTTTTATCGACGACTTGCACTATTATTAAAATACATCCAACGTTAATATAAAATATACAAGCAGAAAATATGACTACCAAAGCTGAACTTGCGTGCGTTTATTCGGCGTTAATTCTCGTGGACGACGACATCGCTGTAACTGTGAGTATGTATTGTATGCATGTTTGGTTTTACGCGGCGTCATAAAGAATTGAAGTATTGCCTTTTATTGTTAGTAATTGTTGCATAAAGTACGTGCAAAAACAAATTATAAAAATATTTGAATAGGGTGTATTTGTTTAGGGTGAAAAAATTCAAACAATTCTAAAGGCTGCAAATGTTGATGTGGAATCTTACTGGCCTGGACTTTTCGCTAAAGCTCTGGAAAATGTTAATGTAAAAGATCTTATAACAAACATTTCGTCGGGCGTTGGAGCTCCACCTACAGCAGGTATTATTTTTACAATATATATATCCTTAATCTATGAATAGTATTGATACTTACATCAACCATGTGCTTTGCAGGTGTTGTATATAGAATAGTTTTATAATCTATAAATGTTAAATTGTGTAAAACTAAGGTGACTTAGAGACAAATGTGTTGAAAACTAATTTTAAATGCTTACAGTTATTTTATACAATTAACATTCCTCTACATCCACCGACCTAAGCAAATACTTCTTATTAGAGCGGTCAGTGATGAGGAAAAAGAAAAAAGAATAAAAAAAACTATTGGTCATACTTAAAATATGATCTAAGTTTTTTTAGGCAACAATTAAATATATTCTATCATATTATACTATATAACTTTACTAGAATTTTCATAAGAATATTTTCATATGTATATGTATATTTTTAGCACCAACTGCTGCGGTACCTGCCAGCACAGAAGCAGCGCCAGCTAAGGAAGAAAAGAAGAAGGAAGAACCCGAAGAAGAATCAGATGATGACATGGGCTTTGGTAAGCATCATATTTATAATTTAGTAAATATAATATCGATTGTAATAAAGAAAAAGTCTTACCTTCGATGATTATACAATGTATTAGCTACTGAAATTATACGTGACGACATTCCAGAATGAGAATACCGTTATAATTAAATTACATGTAGCAAAAAGAGAGAATCTATTTTAATTGTATTTTAACTTTTTTCCAGGTCTGTTCGATTAAATCCAAGGATCACAATTTGTCGGTCCGTCATCTATTTTTTGTACAGTTATATTGTACAATGAATAAAATATTTTTAAATTAAACTATTTGGCTATATAAATGTTAGGCGTCATAACCAAACGAAAAGTAATTTCGTATAATCGATATCGATGGCTATCGATATAATTCGACCTTTCCTTTTCTTGTCGTTCGATACGATGACCGTATAGCAATAGAACGTCGTAGATTCTCGATCCTTGTGAATTGAAAACAATTTTAACACTTCTAAATAAACATTTAGATAGTATAATCAGATCAAAATAAAATGGTTGCTTAGTACCGCTACCCCACTGATTTATATAGGAATTGATATCTTTCTGTTTGAGATAGAAAGATTTTGCTTGTCGGTTTACGCGGAATGGTGAGTTTTCTAGAATCATATGTTTTACCAAGAAATCGAATATTTTAATATCATAGTATTTGTACATAGAAACATAAAATTCCGAAGTAGATAAAATACAATAAGACAAAGATTAATAAATAAATATGAAACATGATTGTTACAAGTCTTATGAAGCAATCATAAAAAAAAATAACATTTAAAAATACTGTTTAAACTTACATGTTTTAAGTTGCATAAAAAATAATCATATTTTTTACAAAATATCATGAATATCAATATCTATTGATATATGTTCTTGTTAGCGAAAGGATTAATAACTGATTTTTAAATCGGACGGTTTTTTTTTATAAAGTTCTTAATGTTTCACTTCAGTGAAATCATCACAATAAGTTTCTGCTTTAGACAGTGGTAACCATTGTGCAGATGCGCCTTTTCCTGACAATACACGCTGAAAAAGCTCCTTTTGACACTTATTAGATACTTCGCATTTAGCTAAAAGCTCACCATTTGCTCGTAAAATAATAAATTCTATCATGCATTTGGACAATATATCATTATTAATATCAAAGCTTAAAATATCGTTCCACACAGGACTAATTGTTTCGCGCTGTATACTAGATCTCTTCTTTTTAATACTTTTACCATCTTGAACAATCTTCACCTAACAAAATAAAAATATATAAATTTTAACTGCACTTTATAAAGATTATAGAAATTTTACACACTTACTTTCACATATAGATTCGCGTTTGTTGAGTCATTAAGACTGGGTAAGTTTTTTGCTCTAACAACTATAATCGTCAATTTCTCTGTAGACAATTGATATGAGAGAGAAACCATTAGCTCTCCCAAAGATGGTGCTTTGAATCCATTCTCAATACTATATCGGAGAATTGGTTTTGTAATAAGAGTAAGTGTTGCATCCAAAAGATCGATCACTGCAGATAAAGGAAGTTGTACATGACCCAAACAATAATGTCTGGAGAAGGCATCAAAGTCATAAAGTAGAATCTCCAATGTTCTTCCGGTCAATGATTCGGGCATTACTTCGAAAACGAAGTCCTCGTCGAACACTATTAATCGCAATTAAAATTAAAAATTATGTCAAAGCTTATGTTTCCATTACTTTATAAATATTAATTTGTGTGTATGAAATTTACCAGGATTGAGAGTCCGCCTGTGTATTCTAGTTTGCCATACATTACTCCAATCAGGTAATAGACGTACTTTTCCATATGGATCCGCGGTACCATTTAATTCTCTTGGGTGAAGATCATGCGCCTTTTATAACAAATATATTTATATTTTAATGAAAAGTAATAAATATAAATGGTGATGTATTTAAAATAGACCATCTAGATAACTTGCCGACTTTTGATGGCAGAAGAAAATGTATTCAACCAATCTTACTCCAAATTAGTCTGAAATATTTCTTTTAAAAAGTAGGCAATTTATTTGGATGACCTGATTTAAATGTTACGATTTATAGATGCATATATGTAAAGTTACCTCAACAAGTCTAACAGTAAGAATACCGGCGCTTGCATCGTAAATTAAACCTATTTGCAATTCACCTCTGATCTCATCAGACAACGACATTGATGAGGAAGAAGACAGCTTCGTCGCATCAAGAATTAAAATATAGATAAACAGATTTTTTCAAAATATTGATTAATTTTTAAGAAAATATATATACCTTGTAGCTAGATGTCTCACACTCTGTACTATTAAGTCGAGAATGCGAGTCGATCATGCCTCTTGACGTAGACTTAACGATTACCATGCATTTTTCTGAAGCAGCCACTGCTCCTTCTGGTAATAGCGGTGCAAAAGAACTGACAGGTGATATCGAAATATCTTCAGACTCTGATAAATACTGCAAAACTAAAAATAAACAACTAACGTATTATAGATAATATAAGCAAAAAAGATAAAGCTTGTTCTTTATATCGCCGAAATATTTACCCTTTTTCGATGAATCGCTTGCAATGCTATCAAATGCATAATTAGATTGCCATTCTTCGTCGTTACAATGATCATCATTATCTTCCGAAATCTTATTTTTCTGATCTAACTTGACATTAGATCCTAAACCAACAAAATTATCTTTCGATGACAGTGTCTCTTCTGCTCTATTTAATAAATCCTTTTCAAACCTGAAATATACACAAGCTTTAAATTCTATATTTTAATCAATTTTTGTTGTCAATTCTTTTAACCCGTTTTATTTCTATAAATTACTGTTAACTTATAAAAAGTATTTATGTAATTGATAAGATATCCGTACCAATTAAGAGGACCTCTACCCGGAACAAGAAGGGATAATCGTTTGCGTTTGATACAAATTGTATAAACAATTACAGCTGAAATAGCCCCAGTTGCAGCCCCAACTGTTCCCAAAACAGCAACAATCCCAATACCATGAACATCCATTTTTAGTTTAAACCTCAAACATATTAAATTTACATGTATGATTTAATTCAATAAGGTACCGAATACGTTCCAATGTTATTTCACTTAATATGTTTACTTACCCTTTTCTTTACATTATTTCTTGTATTACACTTTTATATATAATTGTTTATATATAAAAATATATTTAATTTTCTGTACACTGAAAAATAAGTATCGTGTTTGAAAAATTGTATTTACATTCGACTATAATACAGCATAAACATACGGGCATGTTGAAGGCGTAATGAGGGGTTACAAAAACAAAGACAGCCGACGTATTGACTCTGGCAAGAACAAATCGATATCTACTATTTTATGCGTGGTTCCATAATAAATAACTATAAGTTTTCATCGTATACCTTTTATTATAATACTAGAGATTCAAACCCTTGCATATTCTAATTAGCGTGCATTGCAATTTAAAGATTATCGCATCCACAAATGATTTTTTTTAAACTACACTAGCTGTGTAACTCATAGGAACAAAGGGCATCGTAAAACATGGCCATTGCAGTATGCGCATGGTTCTCATTAATCGCACAAAATATTAAGAATTTTTTTCAATTAATACTTATACTTAAACAACCTGTTTACAAAATATAAATTACTTTAGGCAATTATATGGGTGTAGTACGATTCTCATAAATGTAAACTTATTACATTTATTTATATTGTAATATAATTATTGCATTCGTATTAAAATTAACAAGGAATTTAAGTATTTTAGTTCCTTCATTGCATTTTTTTTGCGGACTACATTAAACTATGTTTAATACATTCACGTACAGCCGACTGTAGGCATACAAGCCATGCTGAACAAGAAACACTAAAGCTGCGAGAGTCCTATTTTGCGATAGATAGACAGAGATGCACAAATGTCGCGTACTCTTTCTATCAAATGAAAAATCAGACTCTCGAAGTTTTACTGTTTCACGTTCAGTGGCCAGGTTTAGTATAATTGCCACGCACCCGTTTGGTTGTCCAGGTGGCAGGGGAGGTGAACCCCTACGTGGCGCGTCCCCAGGTGGCGGTTAGGGGCAGCCGCTGGGATGGGATGATCAACCTGAGAAGGCTGGTAGCCGCATCCTCGCATAGCATCCCAGAGGTCGGGGCGAAAGCTCCAAACACCGGTATGTGTTGCGCGTGTGAATGTGTGTGTGAGTGGACTGGGACTTGCGGCCACCGTGACCATGCGGCCAGCGGCTTAGTCCCATGTCACGGGGCCACGGGCGCTGGTGACCAGGCGCCTGCGGTTAAGGGGGAATGCGGTGGGAGGAGTGCTTCTCAACGGAAGGGGCCTGAGAAAGCACGGCGCGGCGGGGGACTCTGTGATGGCTCACTAGAGTTTTCGGGCCCCTCGCCAGGCGGCAGGGGAGGTGAACCCCTACGTGGCGCGTCCCCAGGTGGCGGTTAGGGGCAGCCGCTGGGATGGGATGATCAACCTGAGAAGGCTGGTAGCCGCATCCTCGCATAGCATCCCGGAGGTCGGGGCGAAAGCTCCCGCGGACCAAACACCGGTATGTGTTGCGCGTGTGAATGTGTGTGTGAGTGGACTGGGACTTGCGGCCACCGTGACCATGCGGCCAGCGGCTTAGTTCCATGTCATGGGGTCATGGGCGCTGGTGACCAGGCGCCTGCGGTTAAGGGGGAATGCGGTGGGAGGAGTGCTTCTCACCGGAAGGGGCCTGAGAAGGGACGGCGCGGTGGGGGACTCTGTGATGGCTCACTAGAGTTTCCGGGCCCCTCGCCAGGCACCTGAGGATGGTCACTGTAGGGTTTTAGCTGGTAAGAGTCCGGCACTACCCCGAGGCCTCCTTTACTTGGGGCCTCGGGGTGTCCATGAGGATTTCCCCAGGTACAAAAAAGAAAGGATTGGTATAAATGAGTGCATCGACGCGACACTAGTAACGACAAACTTCCTTAACGTTTAACGGAGTGGTAGGAAAAGTCGACACATCCTACCGCACGAACCAATGCTATAAGAACTCGGTAATTCGCACTTCTTATGCAATTTTCTTGCACCAGAAAAAAAGGACAAATAAAACTGTATAAATATTGTATATCTTTATAAATCTTTATCTAATCGAAGTTATAAAAATACATATACAAAACTATACATTAGTTATACTAATGCGATTGCTAGTTTGAATGTTTGCCTCGTGACTGAGACAAACGTGCCGAAGTCCTCTGTGAAGTATACACTGGCGTTGCAGAATTTCGATTTCTTCTTGATACTGATAATCTGGTTGTATGAACTGGATTAGTATTTTCACTTCGATTCGATAATTTTCTTGCACTTGGTTTGGATGGGGTTGCCTTAGCTTCTATAAAAAGTAATGACAATTAACGCAATGATATCAATTTTTACTTTTAGCAATACATACGTCTCTCTCCGCGAGTTTTCTTTAAAGTGGAGTCCGTATCTGAGTCCGAATCAGAACTTGCTTTATTTGTGCGACTACGTGACTTTACCTTTCTAGCACTCTTTGCTAAAATAATTTGAAGTCGATTAATAAATATATTTAGAACTAGTTTACATGCCAAGAAAACGTACGTTTTGCCATGGGCATTATATCGGAATCACTGTCTTCCTCACTGCTACTCCTATATTTTGATTGTCTGTTGCGCTTTTTTGGTTTTGGCACTTGGGGTGGTGGCATCATTTCGTTATTACTTTCTTCGTTCGTAGATTTGAGCAGTTCCTTTATTTTTTCTTCCAATTCGATACAAACTGCTTTTGTATTTGGCTTTTTCTTTGACTGCTCTATAACAGTCTGCAAAGCTTTCTGTACATGCTTGTGGTGAATTTTTTCCTTTAATAGGGGTAAACTTTCGGTAAGACGATGTATACCTGGTAAAAAATTGTTCAATTTAATAATACGTAATATTTAATAAAATTCGTATTTGGTTACTACTTCTTATTTACTTTTCGGACCAAATTGTAAAAGTGACAAACAATATGAAAAGTCACGCCACTGTCTTTCTGTAGTAGCTAGTTGAAATCTGGTACAAATTTTGTCGATTATGGCATCAACTTGTTTTTCTTTTTGTAACAAACTTAAAATGTATCTGGAAATATAAATTATTTTATTAAGTTGTGTAGTCCGTATGTTTCCAGTTTATTAATGAGACATACTTTATAATCTCTTGGAAATCAGACTCGCCTATATCTAAATTAGGATCAGTTAATCGAGATAATATATCGGGCATCACATTATACAAGGCGTTGGTCTTCTGCGAAAGTGCCTTGAAGAACTGTTTTGCGTCTTGACGGATTTGAGTATCTTTATCTACTATGCAGAGAGCTAATTCTGATATCTGACCTCTTACGCGCACCATGTCTCTCATTATAAGACTTGATAAAACATGGACACAGGTACTTCGTACATTTTTATCTGTATCCCGGAGTCTAAAAATGAATCGTATTTTAAATCGATTACAACCATATACAGTAGGACATCGACTAATTAGCACAATGTAAGCGCAATTAAGATCTAAGAAGTAACGATTATTTTATTTAAAATTACTCGAGTTTTATCTGTAATTACCTGCTATAGATATGTTTCATCCATGGTTCAACTTGATTTGGAAACCTAGATGTAAGGTCACTTACTCCAATAAGAACATTGGCTCGAATGGCAGGATGCGGCGAACGTTCAAGTATTGTAATTAAAAGTTGTAATGATTCTTCGCAGAATATAGAGCTGACTGTCATCATTTTACTGAGAGCAAGAGTGCTGGCAGCTTGTGTGTCTTCATCATTGTACTTATCATGATTTTGACATACATGTAATACCACTGGGCTGAAATATAGAGTTCGTATACAGACATGCTTTTCCATTACATAAAATATATAAATACCGAATTCATTGACATACACAAATTTTGCTAAAAGTCCATCGCCAGTTACAATGTGATTTTCAAGAACATCGTTTATTAATTCTGCATTTGAATCATCTATTGCTCCTACCACAGCTTCCTCGCCATTATCTTCTGCAACTATACTTGTCTAAATACAAAAATCAGAAACAGAATGAATTCCAAACATATAATATAAAGCACCTAACATGCTCACCTTGAGTAACTTGTAAGTTATAGGTCGTATGAAAAATTTGTAAAGTTTCAGGAGAGTAGGGGAGCAGTATAGAAGGCAGCAAACTTAAAATTTAAATGTTCAAAACGACTTCAAATATAGTTTATTACATGATACCACGTATTATGCACACCCTGTATATGTATCGTACCTCTTTATTACGAAGTATCCGTCTTGCGCTGTTTGAAGTAGATAATGTATTTTTTGACCAACGAGATTTAGAAGAATTACATTTATTTCTATTTGAATTCTTTTCTTTTTTTAATTTTCGTATGGTATCTCTTCGCTTTAATTCCTTGTAAACTGATGTGTCCAAATGTACCATTTGTCTGGCTGCAATATGCCCGATTAAGTATAGTAATTTAGATAGCAAGAAAAGTGAAACAACGTGTTCTGTCGAATCGATATTATTAAATTGTCCTCGATTATACACTTCTAATAATAACTGCTGCATTAGATGATCAGGCTGATTTGCTAACTACAATTTCAAAGTATTTTTTATAAAATACAAGAACTATCTTTTACAATTATGAAATAGATCGATGCAACACTTACGCAGTAAATAGCGCTGACTGCATCTGTTGCAAATGACACATACCCATCTTCTTCCATGTTAGTAAAATTTTCTATTAATAAACTCAAAATTTCTTTAAACATTTCATGATCATTGGGATACCTAAGAATTGTAATAATTATTTGCGATTAATTAATATAATTATCGTTAAACTCTTGTATATCTATCTTACCTAACAGGTGATTTGTTAATGTCATCATTTACACTTTTTATCTTTAACAATGCTCTACATGTATCTCTGGCCAAAAGAAGGTCAGTTTTTGCTCGCGGGCCTAAACCCACTTTTATTAATATATTTAAATTTGTAGTTATAATATCACTCTCAGTTTGAGCTATCATTGTTATCAACATTAATGCAGATCTGCTATCTAATGGATCTTTGTCCGACGATTTCATTGAAAATTTTTCCCACAAAACCTACGAATGTAATCGCGAAGATAAACAAATTGACTAATATCGTGCAACTTCAAAACTAAGTATACCATTACCTGTATTTCTTCATTACTTAGTTCCTTGTTAGTATACCACTCTACAATAAGTTTATTCAAAGCTTGGCTTTGACCTGGTTGAAGTTCTTTCAACAATGCGATCAAAGCTTTAACACGCATAACTGCCTTTTGTCGATTTGATATTTTATCAACGTTGTTATTTAAGTAAATTTCTTTATATACAATAGCTACATTCTTGCGTACTGATTGATCATGGTGAAATACTTGATCCAAAGCATCGCGTATAGCAGTTACAGCTCCAGCTATACCAAATTGATAGGCAGTGCCAAGGAAAGTACATGCTTCAATAGCATCACCAGCTGTTGTAGAAAAAAGCAAATTTTCTACCTTGGTTATAGCAGTTTCCAGCTCGGTTGCAAATTCTAAACAATTCTAAAATAAAAATATACAATTGGAAAGTATCAAAAGAGAAAGTCTATTGCACTAATATAAGATATCCAAATTCATACTTTTAAATAATTTACAACTCGTTTTGTTGCTGTTATTTCCTCCTCGTCATTAGATTTATCTTTATCTGATGATTGTGCCGTATTTGCATCTGCTTTTACGTTATTTAACTTATCCTCCGATTCCATAAATATTTTTAGTAAAAGTAAAAATAAAAATTCCTCTATTGCCTCTGAAGAAAAATTTTTCTTGTCTGGCTTTGGCGTCAATTTAACATATACTTTCCACAAATATGTCACTGCTTCAGAAATTTGTTCCTTTAACATCAACTGCCTCACGTGTTCAAATCCTATATTAGGATCAATGTTTTCTTCGTCGTCATCATTTTCATCATCCTCGTCACTTTGTTCTTTATCTTTTTTCTTACAGGCAACAACTTCTTTTAATGTTTTATTTATATTTGGAAGTAAAGTGTCCCACAATTCTAATCTCTGACGATCGCCGCAAACACTTTTGCTTACTCTATCAGTTTGCATCTTTCTCAATTTCATTTTATTTTCCTCCAATGACTTAGAAATTTCTACTTTATTTAACTTAGCTGCGTATGGATTAGCCTGGAGTAAAGCCCGTAGTAATTGCAGTGCTTGTTTTCGTACATTCGCACTTTTGTCTTCTAAACGTAATGCTGTAGCAGCTAAAAGTTTCCCTTGTCTTGCCAAAGGTATTGCTCCCTCGCAACATAAATGTTGCCAAACTTGCAAGACTTTTGATCTAACGTAAGCATTATTATCCAACAAATGTTCTTCTAAACTATTCAGACATTCATCGCGTTTATCTTTTTGTTCTTGAGTAAGATTATCTCCGTTTAATGATTTTCGTACAATTACACCTATAATTACAATCGTACAATTTCTCATAGCATAATGTTCGCTATCCAAATAATACCTCACATCATCGAGGATAGGCATTATGAGGTCTGGTTGAGTAGTAGCAATGGTTTCAAGAAATATTGATATATAATGACCATCATTTTCAGATGGTTCGCTTTGATCGATCTCTTTCATTACTTCTTTTATTAAACCATTACAACCACATTCATTAATCATTTGAATAACTCCGGTTGCTATATGCGATGCTAACATATCACTTACTTTCACCAACTGAATAATTCTTATTATGCAGTTTATTCCATGATTGTATTTTTTAATCGAAGTTCCCAAAATCTCAAAAACAGTTTGACGTATATATTTTTGTTTTATATTCTTACACTGTTCTAAAACCTTATAGCACATTTTAGTAAGTAATATAATAAAAGAATCCTCGACAATGGGAGGCTGCCAAAGTTTCTGCAATGGTAACTGTAACAGTCTATAACAATATTCCAGTGCTTTCTCCTTAGTAGAATCCCATTCTTCCTCTAAATCTGATTTTGTATTTTTTTTACGCTTCTCAATATATTTATTGTCCGCAGTTTTAAGAATTTCTTCGTCTATATGGCAAAAGAACCAAGAAAATAAATACCCAAGCATTTTGGTAATGTTAAAAACTTGTAATCGGTTTTCTTCTTCCAACTCGTTTTCTTTCTCAAATATGCCTTCCAAGTGATAAATCAGCATTTCAATAGCTTTATGAATTCCAGTGAAACCTTTCATAATGATCGGTAAGTCAATTTTATTTCCATGTACAACTACAGAGAAAAATGTGTCAAAGTGTTCCGTGATAAAATTAATTCCATTTGTTTGAAATGCTGTTCGTGCTTCATTTAATGCTTGTGGTATCATCCGTATTGGGATGATTTTTTCTACGTAATATTGTCCACTCCCAGTTGTTTGTAAAAGTTCATCTTTGTTTAATGGAATAATAAAGTTTTTTATCATTTTAGGTTCATTTATTGTTTCTTGTAAACTCCTAGGTAACTACTACGCCTTTATATCCAAAAATAAAAACTCCTATTATTTATAAATCCATGAAACACTTTCGCAAATACAATAATGTTTAAATTCAAACCAGACGCTTAAAATGTTAACTAATAACATAATATTAACTGTCAAGTTTCAAATTCATTGCTACCAACCACTGTTTCTAGGGACTTTCAGAGGAAAGGGACGCTTTGAGTCAGGGTCCCTAGCTTCAACGGGTCATCGACCCACAGCATAATTCCTCATTCTCATGAAACTTCATAACAGAAACAAAAACAAATGAAAGTAAATAAAGTATAATGTCGTTAGAAGTAGAAAATGATCTAATACGTGTAAGTAATCAATTGTGTGATTTTTCTGCAGACGGAAGATTCTTGGCGATTGCGTATCAAACGAATTTAATTATAAAAAATAGCAAAACGTTCGATACCATTCATTCGTTTATATTTGCAGACATAATTGAGGTTAGTGTAAGATTTCATTGTACTAGCAAACAAAGTATTTAATAACAATACAGTTGTGTTTTATTATATCACAGGTTTTAGAGTGGTCTAGAAACAGTGAATACATCCTTTGTGCAAACATAAGTAAAGCTGTTATTCAAATATATTCCATTAATTACCCTGAATGGAAATATAAACTTATAGAAGGCAGTGCTGGTTTAGAAAGTGTAAATTGGTCTCCTGATAGTAAACACATTTTAACATTGTCAGATTTTAATGTAAGTAAATTACCCTTATTAATACTGTATTTATTTTTAAATGTAACAAACAATATTTATCATTTATTTCAAACGATTAAACTGATCAGATTCAGGCATCTATATGGTCTTTGGAAAATCAGAGTGTAACTCATATACAAAACGTGAAGTCATCTTTTCATAAATTACATTATAGTCCAAATGGCAGTAGATTGGCTATAGTGGTTTCAATCGAAGGTCAAGACAGTATAGAAATTTATAAAACAGATACTTGGAAATTAAGTAGAGTGAGTAGATAAATGTAATTAATATCTATAATTAAGATTAAGTGTACACTATTACTAGATAAAAATACAATTATTTTATAAGTCCTTTAATTCTGCAATCTTTATATCATATATTTTAGTAGTATAATCAGATCCACAGCTTGCTAATTGTAGAGTATTTGAATACTCTTTTTGTGGTCGAAATTTGAGCCTTTTTACAGTTAAATGATGCGCTTGAGAAGAATCGTATACTATACATTTGTGCCATACAAAATTATCTGTTAATATTTGCAACCTTTGTATTTGTATACAACCTGTTTCAAGTCCTATTGCTAAAATGTAAGTATGTTCAGAAATACTCTGTGGAGAAAACGAAAGTGCTGTAACAGAATCTTTTACACACAAATTCGTTGTTGGGACAATTTTGTTATCTGTGAGTTTTGGATTCCAAACTCCAATTTTTCCATCTCTGGAACCAGTTGCAAAGAAACGTGAATCGTGTGTCCATGAACAGCACCATATTATACGAGTATGAAAATTATCTTTTTTCAAACTGGCTGCTATTAAAGTGTATGTATTGTCATTATACTCGAACAATGACCACCTTCTATCTCTAGATACAGATACTAGGTATTTGTCATTCGGTGAAAATTCCATTTGTGTCACAGTTAATTGATGAGATGCAAGTTTCTGAACTTGTGACCATGTACTTGTGTTCCATAATAATATTGCGGAATGTTCTGGTGAAGTTGATTTACATGCAGTCGCCAATAACGATCCATCATGTCTGGCAGTTATAGAAAATATTTCATATCCATGACCATAAATTTTTTGTAATTCCGGCCATAATGTATTTTGCATTAATTCTTCCTCGGTCGGAGGAATGTAATCCTCATTTTTAAAATCGTCGATATTAACATTTTTAATTTTAATACTATCATTAAATGTTGCTTTGTTTGTCAATCCAAGAGCAGGAACCGACGCACTGTCGGCCATTGTATTTTTGAAGTCATCAACATTAGCAAGTTTTCCTAAATAATTCTTAAACGTTACTGGAGCCGTGAATATACGTACAACTTTCTCTTCTGCTCCTGAAGCAAACATGTACGGTGTTAACATAACTAAGCAAGACATATCATATCCATGAACTTGTGGACGTCCAATTTCGTGCCAAAATTCTGTTGTTCCATTTTTCCATGGTGCATGAATTCTCGTTGTTTGATCTACACTTGTAGTAATGAGAAACCTGTAATATAATAGTGTACACTCTATAACAAAGCTAAAGTACAATTACGAAGTACTCCTCGCGTGTTTGTTCATATACAAACCTTCCTTTTGGATCCCAGCAAAGATCAACTATTTCTGCGAAATGACCACTTGGTATTGATTTTGGAATCCAATTTTGTACACTATCCAAATATTCCCAAATGTGAAATGACCCTTGATATCCGTGTGCTAATATATTTAATCCGTTATTGCTGAATTTACAGCCATAAAAGCCCAATGAATTACCACCAACTTCTCCCACTCTTACTTTCTCAGACCAAATTCCAGTTATTTCATCTGGTTCCCATATAATCATGGTTTTATCTAACGAGCAAGATAATAATCTCAAGATCCTATTTCTGTTATTCATTTGCTGCGGATACCAGTGTATACCATAAATCCAACCATCGTGACCATAAAGTACAGATTCCAAAATAATATTATACTTTGTACCATTAACCATAAACACTTGTTCTTTCTGATGTAATTCATCACTCATAGATTCTGTGGCATTTGCAGAAATTTTCCACAATCTTATCATAGTATCTTGAGAGCCAGTTGCAAGTAAAAGATTATTATTCGTATCATAATTAAAATCAATACAACGTACCCAATCTTCGTGTCCACTTAGAACTTGGACTTTTACAAAATGTATTTCTTTCATAATATCAGTGTCTGTTGTATATAGTTCGACCGTTGAATTTTCTGTCGCAACAGCTAAAAGTGGGTAATTTGTGCTAGGCAAATAAGAGAAGGAAGCTTCTATTGGTAACTTCTTCCCAAATGTAAATGTTTGAAAACATTTTATATCGCCGCATGCGTCTCTTGACCATAATTTCAAATCTCCGTTAACTGATCCAGTGCACACCAACAATTTTGGGAAGCTTTTATCATTTTGAAAATTGTGATCAGGAAGATACAAAGAATTGCTAAATGTAAGAATATCGCCAGTTTCGATTATAGAGGTGCATTTAAAACATTCGTTTAATTTGCTCCAAATAATAGCAGTTCCATCTACCGAACTTGACAATATCTCCAATTCGCCTAAAAAGTCTGTTCGTTTTATCCATCGAACCGTATTAATGCGTTCTTTGTGCCGGTGGAGTGTTTGTGTTACTTTGCCAATTTTTGAAACCGACGGATCGTAAATTGCAACTGCGTGACATGCTGCGAAGCAAATAAGTCCATTTTGTCCCCAGTCGGCTGAATGTGGAACCCGATTACAAGCACATGATATGTAAGATGTCATAACTATTTATTATTAATAAGTATTACATATAACCGATTGTCAGACCGATTGATTCTAACCTCAAAAAACTACAGTAAATACGCGTATGGTACACGTGGTACTCCTTCATTTTTTAAAATAGAACCTTTACACCATTAAAATAACTAGATCTTGACTCGATGCAGAAAAGAAATTTTGATTTCTGATTTTTTTCATTTTCAATCATTCTTTTTAGAAATTAATATGTGGACATTTAAACAGTATCGATGGGATATGTTGGTCGCCAAATAGCGAACTATTATGTATCTGGTGTTCTTTTGGGAATGAGACAAAATTAATTACTTATTCAAGTGTATTGGACAGAGATATAGGAATTTTCTGTCCCACAAAAATTACAGATTCGTTTGAAACAGAACATAGTTATCAGAATCAATTGAATGGTATTGAAACTGTAACATGGATGCCTAGTGGACAGTTATTGGCTGTAACTGGATTCAATGAAGTGGTATAATAATATTTCAATAAGTTTGGAAGTCGTAACCAAGAATTTGGTTATATTATTACTTTAATATAAATTTATATCTAGATCACATTATTAAATTACGTGACATGGAAACCACTTTTGCAATTGTATCTTGACCCAGTAATTAAAGAAAATTATCTGAATAAAGTATACGAGGAACGTGTAATTCAAACAAAGTTTTCTAATACGAATACAAGTTTATACAACAAACATATTTGTAAGTAATATCATGGAAATGAGAATTTATACAGGGTGTTCGGCCACCTCTGGGGAAAAACGCGCGAAAGTTGAAGCAGGTCAGTCCTAGTGGTTTTCATTCAGAAAACTGTAAGGCTGTCGATACGTCAGTAAGTAAAGTTTTTCATGCTGAGTGAGAACCACTGTTCCCAAATTACCGTTCTACAGGCGGAACTTTAAACGTTAATAATTTCTTAAGGAAGCCTCAATCAACAAATTGCTATTCCTGATTTTCGTCTTATTTTAGCCTCTAGAATCTTCCATTAAAATTTTTCCCAGGGTTAGTCGAACACCCTGTACTGACCAGTAAGATTAACAATATAAATATTTCCAGTGGAAGAAAAACATGAACGTCCAGTAAATGTAAGGATCAGTAAGAGAAACGACATTGACAAATTGTCAATTGCCAAATTCAGTATTTTGGAATTTAGTTCATGCGGACATTATTTAGCCATAAAGCATGAACTTTATCCTACAACATTATGGATATGGAACATTATTGAAGATTATCTCGATTATTTACTTCTAGAAAATAGTATTGCAGGTGAGGATTTCGATTATCTTATCATTGTTTCTTATAAATGGTATTACATTGTACTTAAAATTTTCGTCTAGCTGTAAAGTGGAATCCTAGGAGTGCTCATCTGTTAATATTTTGTAAATGCACACACATGTTTGAATGGACACCATATAGTGCAACCTGCATACCAACTCCCCGGAATATTATAGCATTGGATGCCCGATGGCACCCTCAAGGAAATCTTGTGCTACTTTGTGGTTATAATAAGGCAATTATTTATGAAATTAAAAATAAATTATAGCGACAAAATATTAATTACAAATATTAATAACTTCAAATAAAAACTAAGCAAATTTTGTACTTATTTATTTTGTTTACTTGTAAACGATGTTTATGAAAATGATGCATGAAATTGTAAGTGATTAGACGTGAGACATTTGAACATGAAAAGATTCTGCTATTCTGAGATTTTTTTCATTTTAAAATACCCCCTTTCGGTTCAGAATTTCCATATTATAACGCGTAACGCTGTGAAGAGCTACAAAAACTACTTTGAGAGAACTTGCGAGAATTACCCGTGATTCATAGTCCTCTGGCGATGAATTCGGGAGACATCTGGGAATTTGTTCATGTGTTTCCTTCTGTCAGAACTAGGTGCACGTTACTGTCCCTTAACCTCAATCTTTCCCATATATTGAAAGATAATTACAAATATTATTTAAATAGACTTATATAAAAAGTATTTATTTGCAGTTTTTAATAATGGATCATAATAGTGCCCAGTTAATGGAAGACATTACACTAGAAAGAAAAACTACTGGAAAGTATGTCATACAAATTAAAAAGTTAATATCTCGTATATTAAAATAGAAACAAGGAAACCAAAGTAGTGCGAAATCTATTTTTAAAAAATATGTATTCTTTTATAAAGGAAACGACAGCTTTATGATTAATTCTTATTCGTTTGTACACTATTTTTATTCGTTGTAAAATTAGTTTGTGCGTCATAATTATGTTATAATATTGTTCAGTGTTAAAGAAACATATTTATATGTGACAGGAATGTGTCTGGAAAAAGTAAAGGTAAAAATGAAAGTCCTCTCTTTTCAAGTAAACTTAAAGTAGAGATGCAAACTTTAAAAATATCCGAAGAATCTGAACAACAACTTTATGACACTTTAAAGAATATTTATGGTCCTGTATGTATTATAGAGATCTTTTCTTATTTATTATTATATACTATTTTTTGTGAAGTATATAACTAGTAGTTTTTTTTACAGAGTTTTAAACTGTCCGACGCGTCAGAGTTTGAAAATAAAACTTCAAACTTAAACAAACAATATTGGATGGAAAGAGGCAACTTAGTTATCGAAGGAATAGTTGATTATTCTTCCAAAGATGTTACACCTAAAACTCAAGAACAAATTACTAGACAATTTGCAACATTTAAACTTGAAAGTTATGGGTAAATGTTAATAAGAATCGAACAAGTAATAATTTTAATATAAATCGTAAACTGTTATGTTAATTTTAGTTTTCATCAATCACACTGCACCGAAGCATTAATATATACGAAAGGTGATATGGGAAAAGCTTTAGAAGTTTTATTCTGTAAATATTATGGACTTCATGATGTTGTAAGAAATGAAATATCTGATGATATTGACACGTCAGACTTATTAGAAAGACGACACGAGGAGAAAGAGGCACTTGAATCTATTTACGGGAATATGTTTATCGAAAAGATAAAAAACCAAATTTGGATTGTCCAAGTTACGTTAAATTATTTAGTGAGAAATGATGTAATAGAGGAAGAGATACGAAAAATTAAGCAACAACAAGAAAAGGAAAAAGAGAAAGCAATTTGTAGATTATTTATTCAGAAAAAGTGTGCATTTGGAAATAAATGTAGATTTTTACATCAGCAACCGCAAGTTTTGAAAATGCCGGAAAGAGAGGATCCTCACTTTACGTTAGAAATAAGATTTCCTGAAGGTATTATACATAAAATCAAGTAAATTATGCAACTGATATATAAATTATTAATAACATTCTACTTGAGGGATTCTTTTTTTTACGTTTCATTAGGTTGTAAATATCCATACGAACCACCATATCTCTATTTTTATAAAAATGATGGTACGTTTCCAAGTATAAAATGTTTAAGAATAGGAAGAAGATTATATAACGAAGCACAGTCATTATCTAAAGATGGCACCCCTTCTATTTTTTCTATAATATCCCTTTTAGAGAATGAATTTGAAATGAAGGGGTATTTAGAAGTAAATAAAGAACAATTTTTGGATCAAAATGAACTACTTTTTCCAAAGCTACCCGAGACCAATAACGAAACGGATACAACTACGCATCACGAATTAGGATCGATTACGAGAAAACATAGAGACAATATTACATGGGAGGAAATATTGAAAGCAGATGATCTAATTCATAAAAAATTCAAAGAGAAACAAAAAGATCTTAAATACAAAAAAATGAAAGAAATTAGAAGAAAATTACCTGCCTGGCCTAAAATGGATAACATATTAGAAGTAGTACATGAGAATCAAGTTACTATAATTTCAGGTGAAACGGGATGTGGTAAAAGTACCCAGGTAAGCAAAATTATCAGTGTATAAGTTTTAATTTTATTACAATGGAGTTCTTATCGTATTGAATACTTTTTAGGTGCCACAATTCTTATTAGATGATTGGATTCTTAATAGATCCGAATCGAAAGAACATGTCAACATAATATGTACGCAACCTCGAAGAATAAGTGCAGTAAGAGTGGCCGATAGAGTTGCAGCAGAGAGAGATGAACGTATAGGTGACACAATAGGGTATCAAATACGATTGGAGAGCAAAATGTCTAACAAGACTAGATTAACATTTTGTACAACTGGTATTTTGTTACAAAGACTATCTGTGAATCCAGACTTGACCGACGTGACTCATGTAATCGTGGATGAAGTTCATGAAAGAAGCGCAGAAAGGTGAGATGTATATTACATTAACTTGATTATCTTTACTTAAATATTATCATTTCTTATCTAGCGACTTCCTATTGATGGCATTGAAGGAATTGTTACTTAAAAGATCGAACCTGAAAGTAATACTTATGAGCGCGACACTTAAAGCCGAGGTATTTTCCTCGTACTTTAGAGAAGCTCCTATTTTATGTATTCCAGGAAAAACGTTCCCCGTGGAACAAATCTTCTTAGAAGATATGTTTGAGAGGATGAATTACGTGCTGGAAGAAAATTCAGTATTTACGCGAAAAATTAAAGGTGACTGGGAGCAGTTGCAAATAGATCTAGAAACTGCAGAGGTTGAAGTCGCTCACTCTGCCGGAGTCAAGGAATCAATTCCGGATGAGAATTTAACGTTAATGCAAATTGTCAGCAGATACCAAGGTTACAGTAAACAAACGCAAAAAAATTTGTATGTCATGGATCATGAGAAAATTAATTTTGAGCTTATAGAGGCAATATTGGAATGGATTACTTTGGGGGAACATGATTATCCAAGAACTGGTTCCATTTTAGTAAGTGTTTTTTATTTTTGGAAACTTGATTAAATTATATATTAATTGCTTGAGACTCAACTTGACAGTGCACTTAGATTGCTCGTCAAAATAAAATTTGACGTTGTAACACAAACGGTTAATTACCTTGCAATTTTAGGTATTTTTACCGGGATTCGCTGAAATTATTACATTGAAAAATCAATTGAATAGCAATAAGCATCTTTCGCCGAAGACGGGAAAGTTTCTTATCGTACCATTGCATTCAACTTTATCCAATGAAGAACAAAATTTGGTTTTCAAAAAGACCAAAGATGTTAGAAAAATAGTGCTGAGCACAAATTTAGCCGAAACATCCATTACTATAGACGATTGCGTTTTTGTAATTGATAGCGGTAAAATGAAGGAAACTAGATTCAATTCAAACCAAAACATGGAAAGTTTGGATACATGTTGGGTATCACAAGCGAATGTATTACAAAGAAAAGGTCGTGCTGGGCGTGTGATGCCTGGAGTGTGTATTCATTTATATACTACATATAAGTAGGTATAATTTGTTAAATATTAATACATTATATTCTATGATAATAAAAATTGATTTTTTATTAAAATTTTTCAGATTTAAGTACCAGTTTATGACGCAACCAATACCTGAAATATTAAGGATTCCTTTAGAACCGTTGCTTTTACGTATTCAACTTCTACATAAAGGGAAAAAAGTAGACTTACATAATATTTTAGGTAATAACATAAATTAGGTAACAATGTTAATTTTAATTATACTTTTTCTACAAAATATTTATTATAATTCCATTTACAGGCAAAATGTTAGAACCACCAACAGACGAAAATATTTATAATGCGATTAAACGTCTGCAAGATATTGGTGCATTTACTTCTGAATATGTATTGACTCCGTTAGGTCATCACCTCGCTACACTACCAGTAAACGTGCAAATTGGAAAATTAATACTTTTCGGAGCAATTTTTTGCTGCCTTGATTCTGCTCTTACCATTGCAGCTTGTTTGTCTCACAAAAATCCATTTAACATACCTTTTGAGGAAAGGCATAAAATAGATGCTAAGAAAGAATTCTTTACAGCTAATTCTGATCACTTAACTATTCTTAAAGCATACAAGGTAAATATATAAATATAAACATGTACGATAACATGAAGCAGATGTTTATATTTTTTCTATTTGTTTTATAGAAATGGTTAGAAGCATGTGCACGCAGTAATTACGCAGGACATGTTTTTGCTAATGAAAACTATTTATCCATGCGCACATTATATACTTTAGCAGATATTAAATATCAATTCTTAGAGTTATTAGTTTCAATTGGTTTTGTTCCCATTAATTTGCCCAAACGACAATCGAACGTTGACAAGATCTTGGAGATCACTGGAATCGATCTAAACATCAACAATGATAATTATAAACTTCTTCAAGGTTTACTTTGTGCTGCCCTTTACCCTAATGTCGTAAAAGTTTTTACACCAGAAAAATCCTTTAAAGTGCAATCCGCTGGGGCAATTCCAATTCAACCAAAGCCAGAGGAGCTGAGATTTCAAACAAAGAGTAACGGTTTTGTCAGCATCCATCCATCTTCTGTTAATTTTAACGTGGGTTATTTTTCCAGCCCGTACTTAGTATATCAGGAAAAAATTAAAACTAGCAAAGTGTTCATTAAGGAAATCTCAATGATGCCAATTCTATTATTAATTTTATTCTCTGGTCATGAACTGAACATAGAACTGCATAATGGATTATCTATTGTATCGTTAGAAGATGGCTGGATTTTGTTCAGCGTTGAATCACATAGGGTAAGCTCAATCTGTTACAAACTTATAATAAAAAATTTTAATTATAATTTTAAAAGGTTTTAATTCTGTCTAGGTGGGCCAACTTTTACAAAGAATAAGATTAGAATTGGTAAAATTATTGGAAAAAAAAATGGAAGACCCTCTTTTAAATCTCTTACATTATCAAAATGGAAAGAAAGTTATACAAACAATTGTAAATGTAGTAACAAGAGAATAGAATATAATATATTGTAAATTTCTTATATGCTAGTACTGACTTTATAAAAATTCTATTGCCATTTATTATTCTGTAAGATGTAAGTATACAATATAAAATTAACACGTATGATTTGAAAAAAAAATTTTTTAAATTGAAGAATTGAATAAAAATCAGTTATTTTTAATACTTCACAAAGTGTTTCTATATTTAGTGATTCATTTATGACATCTCGGTAAATGTTTTGTTAGAAAACAACTCAAGAAACAACATGGTTATGCAAAATTATAAATGTATCACTAAAAATGATGTAATTTTATTCAGGATCAATTTATCATGCCAATATAAATGGAAAATTTGAAAGATTTGATTTCATTTTGAATCTGCTTATTACTGCTTATATTTGAATAATATTACTTTTAATAACCGATTGTGCGGCAGGTATTTGTTCAATGTAAACCTGGCGCTTTTGTTGAGCGCTAAACCAATCTGTTAAACTTACCATTCTTCTACGAGAAGAAAGCACAGCGTGTTTACATCTCCACTCTTGTTGCGGTCCGCTGACTAACAGGCATTGGTCGAAAACAGAGACGAAGATCGGTGACGGCCAATCAGCGGATTGCAGCAAGAGTGGGGATGTAAACACGCTGTGCCTTCTTCTCGTGGAAGAACGATACTTGAAAGAAAAATTGTAAGATTTAAGCATCGGTCATCAGTGGCCACCATGGTAGTTAGTTAACGTGTTAAATAAGTATCTTAATTATATAAAAAATTAATAACACGTATAAATCGCTGTTAGTTAATTGAATGTATTCTTCTTTCACGAGAAGAAGGCACAACGTATTTACATCCCTACTACTGTTACAGTCCGCTGACTCACAGGCATTGGTCGAAAACAGAGACGAAGATCGGTTACGGCCAATCAGCGGACTGCAGCAAGAGTGGGGATGTAAACACGCTGTGTCTTCTCGTGGTAGGACGATACTTGTTTGAAAACGTGGACTGTACAAATGAGATTGCCGGTCGGGTAGAAGGTTCGCGAGAAACGAGTTGGTGTAAACATTTTAAAAACACAAGGCAGTGATCACAAGAGAGTCATTATTAATAAGAACCGTGAACCGTGCCATTTCCAGCGGAGATTGAGATTTGAGAAACTGCCTAAATTATGCGCTGTTTCAAGACTCATAATACCCTTGCAATTGTTTTAATTGCGAGGAGTTTATGAGCTTGAGCCTTGTATTAATTAACGTGAACGAATTACATTCACAAAGGAGAGATTCGTACAACACGAAGACTTTTGATCTCTTGAACTACACGTTGCACTATGACCGGTTTGAACGAGATTGTGCTAAATTAGCACTGCTAATGGCCGCGTTCTTAGACTCTCCGTCAGAGGGGCCATCCATGGATGAGGAGATCCTCACATGTCCGTGTCAGTATCAAAGTTATTATACAATTCTTTAAGTTTTACATAAAGCTACCAAAGAGTATTATTCTATAGAGTGGAGTGTTGTAGTAAAGCTGAGATTTTTCATTCCACCGCAAGCGGCGTTGAGGTAGGAATTCTTCAAATCTTGCATCACTGCATAGAGAACAGCTAATAATAATTCTAGATATAGCGTGTTAACATTCCCTAGTGATTATTTTAAGTTTCTATTGTTTCTAATAGTGTTAGCTAAATGGAGCTATTGTAATAGTGCCCATGTTGAAACAGCAGAATTAAGTTAATATTAAAGATAAATACTAAATGACATGTACGGCACGAAATAATACTAGTTATTATTCATAAAAGTACATACATTGCAATTTATACTATCACGTAAAAAATGTCTAGTAAACATATATACTTTTCAAGTTATTATCTTAATATTGTTTTAAGTGTTAATTAAATGAAATTACATAGCCGGAGTTTACATTAAAAGTTACTGTAAGATAATATCCATTTAGTAAGAAATAATATAATTTAACTGAAAGATTACGTATACCGGATTTGCAACTTACTAAAATTATATTCTATATAGATTTATATTTTATTCAATCTCATATCGTGATAAGCATTATCTGAGATACATATAGCTATTGTTTTAACAGCTTTTTTTGAATTAATTATTAACACATAGGAAATAAAATCCCTAAGAAACAATACTATCGCTCGTAAGAAACGTATCTAATAGTATTAGTTATCCTGTGAGAGTCCCGATGTATGTTGTTCGTTTTGCTTTATTTTTTTGAAAGTCAAAATTTCCATGAAAGTGAGGAAGATAGACATCAATTGTTGTATTTTTTTAAGTTTAGGACATCGTTAAGTGCTATATCTGCCTATGATCGATGCACATATAACAGAGTAAATAGCGATAAAAATGTTTTTAATACGATTATGATCGAATTATGTCTGTTTAACAGCAAATCGAACGTCGCAGATTTTTTCGGCAGTTTGTGTTGTAACGCAATTTAATTTCTCTGTTAAATCAGGACAAGTAACATGGAAAAAGACGAAGTAATTTGTATTTCATCCGACGATGAGGGAACTGGGAAGGTTTGTGTTTTGTTGCACTGGGAGATGTCTGGTTGTTTTGTTTGTAGTTTATAAATTTTTGAACGATCTGTTATAATTCGATTGATTTTCCAGTAGCAACAAGTTGGAATGTTTGAATGCTAAGAAACTTGTATATTATTAATTGTTACAGGATGAAAGCAACAGCAAAGAATTGGAAAGTCAATGTGACTCTCATGTAAAAATGGAAATTCTGCCAAACGAAGATGGATGGACAGTAACTTGCGGGCGAAAAAGAAAAGCGTTTGAAATAAGTAACGGTGCTAATAACGGCCCTGAAAAGATCACAAAAGTATTGTTGCACAGAGTGGACGAAAATGTTGAATTCCCTAACGTGGAGAAGAGTTCCAACGGATTCAAAAGTATACAGAAAAATAAAACGGAAACACAGACGCCAAAACCACAATTGATTATAAAAGAGAAAAGATCGTTTTCACCTGTGGGACAGGACATATTTCCCATGTTTCTTAGTTTATGTTTGCAAAAGGATCGTTCGGAAGATATGAAAATTATCACGAATAAGTTAAAAAGATGTTACGACCAGTTAGATCCAGCGTACGCGAATTCCGAACCTTTCACAACGTTTTTGAACGAGAAAAGGCACGATATCATGAATAGTACAAATAAATTATATGTGTACATCAAAGAAGTGATGAGTGAAATGAAACACAGCTGTAGAAGAGTTTCGACGTTATCGGTAAATGGCAAGAGCTCTACTTCCAGCACGAGCAAATCGGAGAACAGGAATCAAAACGTACCTACCGTGTCGTGTTCGAGTACGAGTGCAACAAGTACGAATAGTAGGGAAACCTGTGACGCTCGTACGGCGGAAACAAGTGAAAATAACGAAGCAGATCCAGAGATGCAGGATGCCACGCAAAAGAAAATTAAACTAATATTAAAAGCAATGGAGAAGTGTGAAAAGTATATTAAAAAGTTGGAAGAATCGGAAATAAATTTCGACGACGAGAATAATAGTAGTTATATAAAATTAGAAAGGTATAGGTATAGAATGGTGGAACTTTATAACAAACTCTGCGAATACACTGGAGATAATGCCGATGCGGGAAGACAGTACCTACGACCAAAGCACTTTAGTACAACTGCGATTGTCGCTGTAGATCATGCTATCACAAGCTTCATTAATTCTAAAATATCCAAGAGGAATAAACTTAAGAAAGTCGGCGCTTACACGGACGCGCTGATCTTTCCAGACTATAGTGACATTCTGCATTGTGTCGCGAAATGCAATGAATTGCATAACTTAAAGTTGGACAATAAAAAACAGCAACAGATCGGTAAGTCGGTAGAATTATATACGAACTCTCCCTCAATTGCAATTTCACGTATTTTCGCTTATGTCTTGTTGCAGCAAAAAAGGCGTTTATCGAATTGGGAGAGTATTTGCAACGCTCCCGTCGTAACGATTACTGGGACACGTTTTCTTTATTTCTTGAAGAGAAAGATGACGATCCTGCCTTGAAGGACGCAGAGTTAGCTAACAAATTAATGCAGAATAAGATAGAGGGTGAAAAACGATTGACAAATATATTTCAGGAGTACGTGAAGAAACAGGAAGAGGTAAAAGAGCTAAATATTATGGGTAGTAGTACGTCGTCGTCCGAGAATGACGAAGAGAAAGAGGATAGCTCGGATAACGACAAGAAAGAAAGTAACAATGAAACTGACGATGCAAGTTCGAGGACGGATGTAGATGCAGCCAGCTCGGAGGAAGAAGAAGTTAGTTTACGCGGTGCCAAAGTTGACGAAAGTAACACCAACGCAACCGATAAAGGCAGCGTGAAAGGATCCGATGTCGACATCGTAGAGGTAAATGAAAAACGTCAAACGGATGTCATAGATACGTCAAAGGATGCCGATGACGACAATGTAAAGTCAAAAACCGCTGAAGATGTTGTAAACATTCCTAACTGTAAAAGTAATCCCGAGCCACGGCCGCTAAATAAAAACGATGCAACGCCATTGCTTAATAGTTTATCTACCAAGGTAGCTAATAAAATCCTTATTGATAGAGTAAAAGGTTAGTGTACAACCGTAATATCGATGAAAATGAATTAATCATCAAATAAATAAAAGGGAGCATTTAGATTTTATGTGTATGTGTGTTGTAGAGAATGAACCTAATGCTATGACTGAAGAGTCAAAGGATAATATACCGTTAGAAGAAAAGCCATTGCTACGAGTACGTTCGTTTGCTAAGCCTCCTACAACATGGGAAGATGTACACGATAAAGTAGATAACTCGCCGGTAGAGAAAAGTACGTTAAGTAACAACGGCATTATAGATCTAACGAAGGAAACGTTCAGTCAAAGTCCAAACTTGACGAAATGCACAACGATCCAAATCGGATCGAAGATACTTCCTATCGTGAAAAGCCAAATTAAAACATTGGTTATACCAGCAGGTAAAAATATAATTAAGGTAAAAAACATTACAAACAATTATGTGAGGCTGAATTCCCAAGATATCGATTCAAATAATGCAGCAAAATTACAGAAAGGTCAAGCTGCATCGTCGCTGCACGGGATAGTAGGTATAAATAAAAATTCTACGGTCGTTCGTCTGCCATCTAATCAGTCTAGTAATCAGCAAATGAACTCTAATAATCAAGGAAACTATTTATTAACGAAACAAAACAGCTCGGTCATACGAATCCCTCAGTCTAATCAAACAATATTATTAACCACAAAACAAAACGAAAGTATCGTTCAGTCTTCAACATCGAACTCGTCTAAATCAAAATCCACATGACTCGAACATAAATTAAACTCGATTCATCTCGATCATTGTTACGCAAAATCGTTAACGGATGACAGATGACCAATTAATTATAATATCAGTAGATAAACTAATAATTTTTTTACACACGATTTGAAATTTAACAACACTGTATCGATAAATTAATATGTTAACACTTAATAAATTTTTTATAAACACGTCGAATATTATTTATAAATTTTGATTGTGAAAGCTGTACGTTTTGATGTTATTTCTTCACGATTCTGCCCCTGTTATTTTCAAGAATATTATCCATTATCGCTTTTGTTAAAAGAAATTCCGGTTCCGTGAGCCTTTCCACGATATCGAAATGGTCGACGTTTTCGCGAAGGAAAATGTATTGGACGTTGTCCACTATTGTAACAAGCTTCTAAAAGAAGAAAAAAAGAAGGAAGATTAATCGTTGATCACGTAAACAAACGAGTGTGAAAATCACACGATACGCGTAGGTGGGAATACCTGAACGCATTCGCGTGATTCATTGTTAAACACTGGACTATCGCATTCCCCATGGGTGACGATAACTTTCAAATCTCGAATGGGTTTGATGTTGGTTGTATCCATTATAGTGAAACTATACGCGTCGACTTCGTCTCTAAAACATGTAAAAATTTAAACGTACAATAAACGAAGAATTGTATTACGATTTACAAATATAGATAATTAATAAATAACGCAGACTTACTTCGTTAGCTTCAAAGCGTCGTTGATGGTAGTATCGAGCAAGGGTTTCAAATTATAAATGCCACTGATCAGGACGACACCTTTCAACAGATTTAAGTATCTTTGTTTCGCCATTTTCTCCAACCACGATGCATCGAACAAAAGACTCACCGCCAAATGTGCGCCAGCACTATGGCCGACGATCCAAACGCTCCTACGTGAATTCGTTTCACAATTATATAGCATATCGATTAAACTGATCTTTGTTCAACGATGTATACTCACCGTGGCATAGTACTGCGACTCGAAACTGATTTTAATATCTCCTCGATCGCAACTTTGATCTGTGATATTATATCCTTAAACCTGACTAAAATATATACATGTCACCGATATAATATTAATTTCGTACGTCAAAATAAACGGAATAGAAAAAAATCAGAGGATTTACCTTGAGGACATAAATCGTAACCAACGGTTATAACCTTAATTCCATTCGGGACAAAAACAGGCGCCGCGAACGATGCAACTTCTTTGCTACCTTCCTGCCAATATCCACCGTGAATAAATATCAATATTGGTGCATCTGAAATAATCGACAAATATAAATTAAAGTGTCGCGATTGTTTTAAAGGGTAAGACTATAAAAACTTGAAATAAAGCGTTTTTTTTTTTAAATATATGGAAAAGTAAGAGGATAATAATATTCAAGAATGTTATTAACTATGTTGTTAAGTGTTCAGGAAAAGGAATATTCAAGAATAGTGCAAAATGGCGACGCTGGAGCCATTCTCGCGAGGCCTGGTTTGAATTTGACGCGCTCTGGCGCAAAGGACTCTGCACAGATCTTATGGAAAATGGCCCCCCCCCCGGTTAAATTAGCTGAACTTTTGCTATGATGTGGTTCATTATGTATTGATGAAAAGCTCCAATGGGCTTCAAGCTCGTAAATTGAAGATGCAGGGGATCAAAAGTCAATAATAGTGCTCCTTATTGTAGACTACCATATTTGAGTGTAAGAAGTTGAACACTGTCCATTTATTTGATCCCTTAAAATTCAATAGTAGCACTATGGGCCCTTAAATATTACCCCTTGACCCCCTGACCCTCAGACTCCCCTTCAGTCAAAATAAAAAAACGCCAAAAAGGTAAAAAATGGTCCCCTTTTTCATTGTACAAACATGAATCACCGTCGACATTAGCATTGCCCAGTGTGCATCGCGAGAAGGTTGCTAGATCGGATTTTGCACACTATGTGGCCCTGAAAAGGGCCGTTTTTATAGTAATTGTAAAAAGTACATGTACCATCGGGTAAATCGGTCCCATACACGTCGTATTTAGCTCGGTCTGTGGCCCCATATGGGACATCGAGTTTGCATTTCAAGGTTTTACGAGCATTTTCCGTAACTGCAAGAATAAATCGTTAATTCTGTCACGAATGTCGATTAATAATAATCTATCGTCCTAAGTTACCTTTTGCAGCGAATGTGAGATAGTGTTCCAATATTTTTATATGGTCGAATCTTCGACACCATCTGCTCGGACTGTAACTTACTTCGTGATCCTAAGCAAACAGTATTTCAAGAGAAATGTCGGTGGAAATAATTTAATTAATACTTACTGATATTGACATTTTCGATTTTAAATAAGAACCAGATAGTTTCCTTCGCTCACCACGCGTCTTCGGATCTCTGATGGTTTGAGAAAATGATTTTTGCAAAATGTCGGATGAATGAGATGATTCCACGATTGTGGATATCTATTTTAAGATAAGACTGACAGTGTGTAATTTGTAGTGTAAATATAACGTGATAAGAGCCTTGTATCTTTCGTTAAAGTAGGCTTTTTGTCCTTGAAAATTTTTATATGTTTTATTATAAACATATACGTAATGATCACAGTGTCCATGTCCAATATTGTCTCCATTTATAATAAACCTTCGAAGAGAAATCGAGAATGAGAAACCCATTTTGACGAACTGTACGAAGCTCTTATCACTCTGCAGTGGACAAAATTTCTATAAGAATACTATTATTTTGTATAAAAATGGTATAGAATTTTGATAATAATATTTAAGAAATAATTAAGAAATTATTGAAAGCATTTATTTCTGTTATGAACGAAGTATTATTTTAAATCTGTTTCAAGAAACTAAATTCATAGTGTTAGTATATTTTTGCAATGTTGATTTGTTTAACTCATTAATGTCGTTTTTCTATTATGTTTAGAATGGAGGAACTGTTTCGTAAGTGGAAAATTTTGTTTATTTTAAATCACCCTTGCGTCTTCTTAGCGTTATGTATTGTTGCGTTGTTTTGTTGAAAAATAATACTGTCTTCATGATTTTCTTCGATAAAACGAATAAAAATGTCTTCAAAAAATGCGTATTCACGGTTGCGTTTATTTTTATTTCCTCGTTAGAGTTTAAGACACTTCGTCGCGGCAATTATTTTAAATATTATTGCGTGAGTATTATTAAATCTCTTATTTCAATTTTAATATTCACTCGTTATAAGATAGAAATAATGTTTCTTGTATTTGTGATGATGCAAAATCGAGAAAATCATGATTTTATACGAATTTCATCCTTTGGTCAATATTTTAATATTTATATGTTTTTGTATAAATTATGTTTTTATATTAGTTATGTGTTTTATGTATTTATAAAACGAACGAACTTTTGCAGTAAGTCATCGTGTTCTTATAGAAATTTCATCCACTGTATTTATGAAGAAACTAAAGAAATATATCATAGATAATATACATAATATGATTATTTAGCTATAGAATTAGATTTCGGAGAATTTATCAGGTATTATACTTTATATTTTTATATTATTTCTCATTTTATTTTTTCATCAGTAATTTATGTTTTTTTTTTAGAGTAAGAGCTCCTTTTGCATTTAAAATTTCTTTTTTTTTACAGAAATTATTAGTTCGTTCCACTATTTCAGTTGTAGACAATCATACTGCATCAAAAAAGATAAAGTCGAACTTAACACCACTTTTCAGACCACTAAGGCACGCGACGACTAAACCAGCTTACTGACTGATCTCATTAGGCTTGTATTACATATAGAATCAATATACCAATCATATTACATAAGAAAATGCAGAGATAACGTTGAAAGAAATTTTGTCTATGCAACTTCGCTTTCCAGACTACTCTGTGCACTGTTACAGACCACTAAGCGTGCCAACGACTAAACCAGCTTATTGCTTGTTCCCGTTAGTTGAATGGGTCTGCCATTTGTTGCATCGATGATAATAGAACTATGTATATGCATCGATTTAGTCTCCAAAGTACGTAAATATTGAAGCTTGCATAATCTACCGAATTTTCAAACGGCCATAACTCCCACAATAGTAAAGGTAACTCATAGAAATTTTTTTCTAAAGCAGAGTCCATGGATACCTACAAAAAAGTATTAGACAACTTTTCTGTAGAGCGTCAAACAAATTGATTAAAAATTAAAAACACATTTTTAAGTAAAATCGACAAGATGGATGCCTAAATTCGGCGGAAAAAAAAACTTTCAAATCGTTCTGGAAAAATTATTTTCGGTTGCGGGGGTCCATTACAATCATTTTTGGTGAATACACATACCCCCGAAATCCTACCCATTTTCTAGAGAAAAATTCGAGAAGGTGTGAAATATTTCGACGGGAAAAAAAAATTTCAAATTGGTTTGGAAAAATTATTTTCGGTTGCGGGGGTCAATTTCGATAATTTTTGGTGAATATACCTACCCCCGAATTCCTACCCACTTTCTAGAAAAAAATTCGAGAAGGTGTAAAATCGGACATCCAAAGTCCGCAACTTCTCCTTGTTAGTATATGACATTTTTCTTTTGTAATTAAAACTATATTATCACCAGTGACTACTGATCTCCACGTTTCTTTCAAAATTTTCGTTGCTTCATAAAATTGAAAGTATTAATTTCGTTAGTGCGGATCATTTTTGACCCAACGACGAATGAATGCAAAACGGTTAAAATTTGTCATGGAAGATCGATTTGTTGCACATAATGCAGCGTCTTGTTTATTTTTATTGTATCGAAGCGTTGAATGAAATATTATTCACGTTAAAAGACAATACATGTGTTCGGTTTTGTTTCTCACTGTATGTTTCAAAATATACACAGCGTGTCCACGGAGAAGTTAGCGGGAATAGGCTACGATGGTCGGAGAGATTAAAAACCAGAAAAACCGGTCCCTTCCTTTTGGCCCCACTCTTCTGTAGCGCGCCACCATTCTCTATGGAGAAGTCACAGGTAGGTAGGTTCATAGCAGCTGAAGTATCGAGTATCGTGCCACGTCGGCGCTTACCCACAGACCACAGGTAAGAGAAACCTTTTCCAGTCAAAAATTCGTCGATCAAAGGGATACTTTTTTTTAAGAATGCCGCAGTAATGCGTAATAAATGCAAGCAGAAGGGATGCCAGCGTTCCACGACCACCGAATTTTATGCTTGGAACTGATATTGGACGTAGAATGATGTATCTTCGTGCAGGGTATTTCGGAAATACATGCAAATACTCAGGAAACGAATTTACACGCTCCAATAACTAAAAAATGACCTACGAGCCACATTTTTTTTCAGTTTTGGGCAACTAAGGAAAATGCCACTATCCGCCACTATCCGCCATTATAAAATGATAATAATATTGTTAATTATAAAGAACAATATGCAACGAAGATGACTTCGTAAATTCCATGTTGCTCGCGAGAATAATCTTCGCTATTCTTGATAGCCTTTCTCAGTTTACACATTTTGCAACCGGTTCTCGAGCGAATACTGGGTTAATTTATTTGACTCAGCGACTACGCTTATCTCTAATTGGTTTCCATGACATTAAGCATGAATCCTTCATACATATTACCTTCAGCGAAATTTAGAATCACATTGTTGAGTATCGCTATTAATAGCACGATTCTTATACATTGAGTCATCGTGCATCGTAGGTGTGAAACGTATTACCATTATTTAGTGAACGAACCCTAAAATTATGCGCACCGTTCGCGTATTTCTTGCACGAAACGCGAGTTAACACTGTTAGTCGGCGATTTTTGTTTCAAGAAAAATAACATTCGTTTAATCACATCCAGATATGGGCCATGGAGCTTTCTAACGCGATCAATCGAGCCATTTATAAGCTAAAATTATTTAAAAACTTAACTTTTCTTAACTTTCTACCCTTAATTTTCAACACTATAAATTGATAAAAAGAAATTTACATTTGAAAAAGAACCTTAACAAAGAATGCATGTTACTTTATCAATATTTCACTTTTCTTTCTGTGGAGTCAATCGATGTGGTGAATAAGGCTCGATTCGAAGTATTCTTATTTGTAAACATACGTTTATAATGCCTGACGCGTGTTATTATAATTGGAATGATTCAGAAATACAAGGGTATTAATAAATATTAAAAAAAAAATTGTAACGATCCTGCCAGGATTCGAACCTGGAATCTTCTGATCCGTAGTCAGACGCGTTATCCGTTGCGCCACAGGACCGACTTCGTGCTTTTATTTTTTGTCTATTGTTAAGGAATAATTACTTTGTGAACTGCAATCAAAACGTTATTATTTATTAATACTTCCTTATCCATTATATTCATCTATATTAACATTTATCAAATTTAAAATTTGACGTAGTACTTTCTTTGTAATCTTTTCGAAATTCGTGGGTCTAGATTCATTTTCTTTAATAAATGAAGATTGTTGTCTATCGTTTGTGATTTTCACCACAGTTTCAATTTTACTAAAGCTGATGAAATTGTGGTCGATAATTGCTGGCAAAGTCTCGTATATCTGTGTGATAGTAGTCGTCAAAGTGTTAAAGTTTTGACGTTGAATTATGTAATTATTGTGAGATAAATGTAATTTCCGATATTCGTAATTTTGATATTGATTAAAATCACTTCGCGATAATAGATAGCATTATATTGTCAGAGATAATTCGATCGTACGCAATAATAAGATACATCAACATTGTCGTTAAAACGCAACTAAACGTCGGATCTATCGATAACAGAACAAATTCAGATAACAAAAATACATTCACAATATACATTCAGGGCTCGGTCATCCGTGGGAAAAATTTTAATAGGAGATTCTAGAAGCCAAAATAAGACGAAAATCAAGAATACCAATTTGTTGATTGAGGCTTCGTTAACAAGTTATTAACGATTAAAGTTCCGCTTGTAGAACGGCGCTCTGCGAACTGCATGCGATAGTGGTTCTCACTCAGCATGAAAAACTCTACTTACTGACGTATCGACAGCTTTACAGTGTTCTGAATGAGAACCACAGATTGCCGCTCTACTAATTGGGCGTTACTAATCTAAAAAAACTCTGATTTGTCAAAAGTAAATGAGGAGGGAACAAAAATTTAATGTCCAGAATACTGAAAGTACCGTTGTAGCTTCAAAGGTTGGTCCTGTTGACCGTGGCGCGCAATAATGCTGGTAGTCTTAAGTATTGCGAGAAAACTATTGTAAAAATGAACATCTGGTACGGAAACAAAATTTGGTATATAACGCTACCTGTGAAAGTATATTGGGGTAAAGGCTATTTCTAAAATCGGTATTTGGCTGTTGCCTGGAGATCGTAAATGAGGGCTCGCAACGCGACACTGTCTATGGCATTCAAACGCAGTCGCTAACGAATAACTTAAATTTAAACGAAGCGCGTTTAAATATTTCCAGAGGACTATCGAAGATCTTTAGAAACGCGAAAGAAAGTTTGTATCGGGTAAGAGTTTGCATAGTCGAGCGTTAAACGTATATTCGGTGGTTTGTTTTCTCAAATTTATGTAACATTTTGCACGAAAAGGCTGGATAATTCGTTCGCGCATGCGCATCGAACAGGAAGACCCGAGCCGACGGTTGCCGAATTGGCTCGAGCGCGCACGAACGGAGCCGCGCTCCCCGTGATTCCGGTGTCGACGCGCCGGTTAAGCGACAGGAAAGTGGGGTTAGTTTCTGGTAGAGGGACGAGAGAGACGGGTTTTCTTGGTGCCGTGAGTGGGGATAGGATCTCGGTGTGCAGCAGACGCAAACTTGTAGTTCTTCGTCCTCGACCAAGCTGTGTACGAGCAGAGAGAGAGCGAGACAAAGAGGACAAACAGAAAACGAACAACTCGTGGAACGGTATGTCCTCGCGTGCTCGTGTCGTACAACGTATCTGAACGCAGCCATTACGACAGAATCGCGCTCAGTGACGCTTTGCCTCAGTAGACCCGTTCTCGCGCGCGTAGTGATCGCGGAACGATCAGAACGGGATACACACGTGTTCCCGAGAATTCGGAGAAGATATCCGAGTGTACGGAAAAAAGTCTTTAGTGAAAGGAAGAGACGGTAACGAGAAGAAGACTGTACCGATCACCGTGAAGAATTCTCGAAGCGGTTTATTTGTTCCGCGCCTCATTCGAAGAACGAGAAACGTTCGTTAACGCGCGGCGTTTCGTCGCGTTGAACGTTGCCGATCCCAGGAGAGTTCCGTTCGATAATCAAACGCTTGGAGTCGTTATTTCCCGAATAACACTGTCCAAGAAATAAAACAGATCAACGATGTTCGACGTATTCGGTTCGGTGAAGGGACTGCTGAAGCTCGATGCGGTGTGCATCGACAACAGCGTGTTCCGGCTGCACTACAAAGCAACGGTGATCATATTAATTGCCTTTTCATTATTGGTCACGTCTAGACAGTACATTGGAGACCCGATAGACTGTATCGTAGACGAGATACCTCTTCACGTGATGGATACCTACTGCTGGATCTATTCGACGTTCACGATCCCCGACCGTACCGGTATCGTCGGCAAGGACCTGGTGCAACCTGGCGTCGCGTCCCACGTCGAAGGCGAGGACGAGATCAAATACCATAAATACTACCAGTGGGTGTGCTTCACGCTCTTCTTTCAGGCGATGTTGTTCTACGTGCCGCGATACCTGTGGAAGACCTGGGAGGGCGGCAGGATAAAGATGCTGGTACTGGACCTGAACTGCCCGGTGATCAGCGAGGATTGCAAAAGCGAGAGGAGGAAACTGTTGGTCGATTACTTCACGATCAACTTGCACACGCAAAACTTTTACGCGTACCGGTTCTTCCTCTGCGAGGTGTTGAATTTCATCAACGTGGTCGGTCAGATCTATTTCATGGATTTCTTTTTGGACGGCGAGTTCACCACTTACGGTTCGGACGTGGTGAAGTTCACGGAAATGGAGCCGGAGGAGAGGATCGACCCGATGTCCCGTGTATTCCCGAAGGTCACCAAATGCACATTCCACAAATATGGTGCGTCCGGCACGGTGCAGAAGTTCGACGGTTTATGCGTGTTGCCGTTGAACATCGTCAACGAGAAGATTTACGTGTTCCTTTGGTTCTGGTTTATCATATTGTCGGTGTTGAGCGGCTTGACTGTGGTTTACCGTTGCGCGGTCATCGCCGGCCCTAAGCTTCGCATGGTGCTGTTGCGCGCCCGATCGCGCCTCTCGCCTCAAGAGTACATCCAAACGATCGCCCAGAAGTGTCAGATCGGTGATTGGTTCATTCTCTATCAACTCGGGAAGAACATAGACCCGTTGATGTACAAGCAGTTCGTCTCGGACCTGGCCACGTCATTTCAGGGCAAAGCGTCCGTCTAGTTCCCATTGTTTTACTTTTCTGCTTGTTTTTTTTCGAATCCTTAGTTTCATTAGCTGAACGAGAGGTTGGTTTAACCCTTTGCACATGAACCTTAAGGGAACTCGGAAAGGTATAATATGTTTAATCTTCCGTAGGCAAATTTCTCCCGAGCTTTTATTTTTATTCGTCGTTCGTGTACCAAATTAGAGATAAGCATAGAATTTGTTCAAATTTGTCGAATTCTGGTGTAATCGAGAAATGAGGGAATATGGATGGATACGAAGTTTGGCCTGTCTGATAATAAAATTAATTTTTATTAGCGTTGGGTTTGTAACGTGGACCGCCGTCCGCAAAGGGTTAATATATCGCTTCGGATAACACGTATTTCATATATTTTTTGAAAATTTTTAATCGTCCACGGGGCGTCGAACGAAACCGCCTCTCAATCGTAGACGATTTAATCGATGAAGCTGTAGAAAGGCATCGAGCGAACCTAATCCATTCCCTTTCATGTTACGCCAACTTAGGCAAGCCGCGTATCTAACAATGGAGACCATTCTGGTATTCGAGCGTTCTCATTCCCTCGTCTTGCAATTTTCTCGGCTCGTCTCGCTTTAAGTTTGTCCGTAGATCCATTTTTTTCTTCTTTCTTTTTGTATACACATTATTATTTTGTTCTTGACTGAGTCAGTCAAAATGCGACAGGATTTATTTCGAGACGGACGAAATAAAGAGGCAAACGAACAGCCGTGAATTGCCGATATTGATTTTTGTAACCCCGGCTCGGTGGACCATTTTTACGCCAAACGCGACAGAAAACGTATTACTTAGATATTAGTATACCCATTTATCTCTAATCTTTCATATTTTCGCACTATTTCATCGAATTTTTGTTACATGTTTTAATTTTCACTTGTAAAATACCAAATCTTGAAATTCATTTGTCATAGACACAGGTAGATAACAATATTGGATAATATATTTTGTCTTTTGTTCATATTTTATAAATTATTATACAATAGAATATTTTTACATTTTATTGTGTATATATATATTGTATGGTAATTTGTAAAATATTTGCAAGAGGTAAACATCTAATTTTTCTATAATCCGATATTGTTATTTAGAATACTATAAACATTGGGTATTCTAGATAATAATATCGGATTATAGAAAAATTACATGTTCATTTTATCTTTTGTATATATTTTATAAATCATTATACAATAGAATATTTTTACAGTTTATTGTGTATATATATTGCATGGTAATTTGTAAAATATTTGCAAAAGGTAAATATCTAATTTTTCTATAATCCGATATTGTCTACAATACTATGAATATATCTATATATGTATGTATGTAGGCATAGATGAAGACATTATGGAAATTTGAGGGTCAACTTCTGTATTTTTAAGCGGAATACTATATTTTTAATATCAATATATGGAAGAAAGTCGAATGCCCAGTATAAAAGACCTTTATTAACCCAAAATTTACTTCATGTAATGTCGAACTGGAGACTCAATGTTATTACAGATTGATTTTTAGTAACTTTGAATCTCCAACTTAATTTACACGAGGTAAACAAAGCGAAATTACTCTCTAATGGTTTTGGGCTAATAAATGTCGCAATCATGCTTTGTCCCTCGGCATTCGACATTCTTCCATATTTTGGTACACAAAGTTTAGCATTCCATTTAAGAGAGCTAAATTCACTTTCAAATATTCGAAATGGCTTCGTTTATTCAAAAAATACACACTTTTACTACATAACTTGCATCTTCAAATCATGTAACATTTCTGTAAAAATTAAAAATCATTCTAAGTGTGCAAGTTTCACAAACCACTCTGTATGTGTGTATGTATGTATGTATAATACAATATATACATATATCCAGTAGCAGACAATTAAAAAAAGTCTTAAATAAAATTAAGAGACCAAAACGACGATCAAACTGCACTCGTCTCAAAATTAAAAATAAAAATGCAATATATATTCTATAAAGCGTAACTCGGAAAGATCCAATGATATCAAAGCCTAACTTAGTATTTAGTATTTCATTCCATTGTTTGCATTTAATTAAAAAAAAAAGGGAAGTTGCAAATAATTGGTTTTGATTTTGGTTTTCAATAATTTCGAGGATGACTGATTCTGACGAACGCTGAAGAAACTAATTTTGGTTAATAGACCGTCGGATTAAATAGTGTGAATTTATTTTATAGGCAATAAAAATGTTCGATTGTTTTTTTAACGATCGATACGTCTCTCGATAAATCCGAACGCATCGACGGGGAGCAATCTGTGAAAGTAGTGTTAAACTCCTCTGAAAATTTTGGAGGCCTTTGTGGACTCTGATCGTGTGATAAAACGGAGAACGACGTTCGTTTTCTTTTCCCCGTTCTACAAAACGTTCAGTTTCTCTTCTCGTTACCGCCTAATTACTTTCAATTGCTTTGCTCGTGGATAACGCGCGCGAAAGGGTCCAAAGCCGTGCAATACGTCCATTAGGAAGGTTTGCTCAAATGCAATACTTCGTGCTAGATTTCGAGGGGGTAATTCTACCGTAAAATGTGCACTTTTTTTAAGTCTCTTTCGATAATTTTTTTTTACAAAGATCTGCACAAATTTATTTCTCGAAATTCATAATTGAATAGGTCTGCCCTCTGCAACAGACGAGGAAACAGTATAAATGTTTAAGAAGTAAATAATCCACCCAAGAAGAAAGTAATTTGTTAACTGTAAATTACATCATATCAGAGTTTCACGATAAAATAAAGTTCCAACGTTGGTAACGTATCTCTTGTTTCTAGGGAATTATTCGATTGGTCATTCTGCATATTTTAAAACACAGTAAAAAAAAAGCCAGTCGAAACGAAAAATGAAAGAAAATTCTTAGAACGAATTTGACTATAGCAGATACTAAAATATGGTAGCACTTTGAAGTTCAATTAAAATAAACAAAATATTAAATTGATTATAGTATGATGAATGAATATTTTTTAATATCACAGACGGTTGAAAAAGTACAGTTTTGAGAGAAAAAGGAACGAGGAATTTGAGCACAGTATTTTTTGAAAGGTTTACAGTAGAATATCCCCGCAACCCGTAAATTTGACGCCATATTTGCAGTTTTAGTAAACATTATTAGTCAACAATTTACGTTAAATTTGATTAAATACGTATCTTAAATAAAAGGAAAAAATGGAAATTGTATTAAGACTGGTTTCGCCAAAAAATATGTGCGATCGATGCCCGTAAATCTAGTTCCAAAATAGTCCCTAGAATCGAACGCGTCGTTCTCCAAAAAAATGGTAATTTCACCAGCTCGCCAATTGTTTCTCCATTATCGTAAGAGTTAGGAATATATGTTTGTATATTGTAGGCTGTCTTACGAAATAGAAAGTATAAATTTATTATACATAGATGCACGGACATGTAGGATAAAATGAACGAGAAAACTGAGGAAAGGGGGAGAGGGTACGAGAGGGAACGAACGAATCGCGCGATAAAGATAGACAAATAGTTTTTAATGCTAAATTCTATCATTCGTCTTGGCGCCTTGAACGCACAACAATGTAGAATATTAATATCGAGGGACCAGAAGCTGAATAAAAGACAAAAGCGGAAGCGATAGACGAGTCTCTTTTACGCCGTCTTTGTATTATTATCATTTATATTTATATCAATTTACGTTACTGTCGCGTTGTTGCGCCATCGTGCGTAATATTAGGCTGGCCGAAAAGTTCGCAGAATACGATCAATCGTAGTCGGTGTATCGATCACTTCAGTTAAGGGTAAAATACAAATATTTTGAAATTTATTATTTCAATAATTTGCTCTCACGCTAATTATGCAAATGGAAAGTAATTTCCATCATAAAAATTTCTGTCCCCGTGGAAAAAGCTAACGAGTAGCCTCTTTGAGAACTAAAATTTCGTCCATTGGGGGAATTCCCTAGAGAACAAAGGTGGTGAAACGTTTTCGTTTTAAACGAAACAAACATGTTTAAAAATATCCTTTGGTGTTCATTTTTACAGGTTTGTAAACTGTATAATAGTTATATTATTTACAATGCGTTGCATTCGGATGTACGTTTGTAAAATTACGTCGAAATTACAAAAGAAATCCCTCTTTGTATCGAACGACCGCGTGAACTTTTTGGCCAACTTAATTGTTCTGGTTGAACCGTAGCCGTTCGACGAGCGAGTATGCGAATTGAAATTTTAATAGACTACGATATGACAATAAACGTTTAGCGATAAGAATATAGACAAAACATATTTAGGGTTGTCGCCCGTTGCTATCTACAATTGAATCGGCGAGGACAATACAAGTCCAAAAACCATATTCTCAGAGACTTCGAGAATTTAGTTCTCGCGCGTTATCGACGTTATCAATTCTACAGTCCTATTCAAACGTATGCCGACCTAGATTGATGTTCGTACGTGTCTAACTACGATTAAACTATTCAATGAAAAATTATTTTTCAACAATTACTTTGGAATTTCAAAGAGTTAACACATTGTTACAGAAAGAAACATTTGTATTCCAAATGTAATCGAAAAGCGAGTTCAGAATAAATTCGGTATAATTTTAACAAAAGTCTTCCAAGAAGAAATCTCTTAACACTATTTCTACCGCGGTTTTCTGCATATATATTCTCATCAAAAGGTGTCTTCCATGAAAATAATTTAAAATAAAAAATGATTAAACTTAGGAAATAATACAGAGTTAAAATTTTGAAATGTGTCCTTCGACATTTTTGGTAGAAATAATGTTGATAGAAAATTGCAGGGTTTTTGCATTGTTCTTAGTTTCGAAATTATTTGAAAATGGCTAATGTTGGACTTGTACTGTTTTCTTTAATGCTAGAACTACGGACATCTGCCTAATTGTACCCGAAGGATCAAAATGACTTGTTTTTTAAAAGTACAAGTATCTTGTTCCAAATTAGTAAAAAAAGAAATATGAAATAGGAACAAACGTACAACAACCAAGCAAACACAAACATGATTTTTGTACACCGTGTACATTCTGAAATATTTTTTAAAAAGGGTACTTGTACCGTAGTGAAATTTTTTGAGAAACTTCTGAAACTCCAATGAATTAAAAAACAGGATGTACTGAAAATTGGGTAATCGTTATATCAAACGACAAAACAAGTCATTCTCGACACCCTTTATAGATGTAGTGTTAACACGTCGATTGCCACAACGTCAGCCATATTTTTCATTAAGGTAAAATGTTAAGAAAAAATAAACTGTTGATAGGACTTGTGAATTTGGACGAGTTTACAGAAAAAAAAAAAAAAAAAACAAAAAAAAAATATATAGTTATTAAGCAGTTTTCCAATTGTTTAAGAGCGAGATGTCGACCGCGTAGAAAATTTCGTAGATTTTGTTTTAACGGTGAACGCGTCAACTCGACGATTCAACGAGAATTCCATGCTCAAAGTAAGACTGCCAAGTAATCGAGACACTCCATATATATAATCGTGATTCTTGTATTTTGCTATCTATTTAGGATCGTACGCGTAAATAGTGCTTAGAACGTTATTTCAAATTACATTAATCGTAATTTTTAGATTCCCTTTCTTCCGCTTAATGCCAGTTCTTCCTATCATTCGTAAGTAACCGCGTAAATAACCCGTCGAAGGCGTTTGTTCCTTGCCCCACTTTCGTTTTTCTGCCTTCCTTTTCTCTTCGTAACGACTATCGTAACTTGTAGCCGACACGTATTTAATTCTTGGTCGAGGGAAACCCCCTCTCGACGTGTCCTGTGAAACCGTTTTGGTTCTCGGTAGCTTTTGTTCCAGCGTGATCGCAATTTGCACAGATCGCGATCGAAGGAAACGGAAGTTTCGTTTGTGCGATCATTAACGCTATTTCTGCCGCTTGTGAGTCTTGCGAGACACCATTACAAATAATC